AGACACAGCTGACACACACAGTGTACACACAGAGACACAGCTGACACACACAGAGACACGCATAGACACAGCTGACACACACACACACACAGAGACACAGCTGACACACACACAGTGTACACACAAAGACACGCATAGACACACAGTGTACACACAGAGACACGCAGAGACACAGCTGACACACACAGTGTACACACAGAGACACAGCTGACACACACACAGTGTACACACAGAGACACGCATAGACACAGCTGACACACACACAGTGTACACACAGAGACACACAGACACAGCTGACACACACACAGTGTACACACAGAGACACGCATAGACACAACTGACACACACACAGTGTACACACAGAGACACAGCTGACACACACAGAGACACAGAGACACGCATAGACATAGCTGACACACAGTGTACACACAGAGACACAGCTGACACACACACACACAGAGTACACACAGAAACACAGCTGACACACACAGAGACACACAGAGACACGCATAGACACAGCTGACACACACAGACACACAGACACAGCTGACACACACAGTGTACACACAGAGACACGCATAGACACACACACACAGTGTACACACAGAGACACAGCTGACACACACACAGAGACACACAGAGACACAGCTGACACACAGTGTACACACAGAGACACGCATAGACACACACACACACAGTGTACACACAGAGACACAGCTGACACACACAGACACACAGACACAGCTGACACACAGTGTACACACAGAGACACGCATAGACACAGCTTACACAGAGACACACAGTGTACACACAGAGACACGCATAGACACAGCTGACACACACAGAGACACACAGAGACACAGCTGATACACACACAGTGTACACACAGAGACACAGCTGATACACACACAGTGTACACACAGAGACACAGCTGACACACACAGTGTACACACAGAGACACAGCTGACACACACACAGTGTACACACAGAGACACGCATAGACACACAGTGTACACACAGAGACACAGCTGACACACACAGTGTACACACAGAGACACAGCTGACACACACAGAGACACAGCTGACACACACAGAGACACGCAGAGACACGCATAGACACAGCTGACACACACAGTGTACACACAGAGACACAGCTGACACACACACAGTGTACACACAGAGACACAGCTGACACAGCTGACACACACAGTGTACACACAGAGACACAGCTGACACACACACAGTGTACACACAGAGACACAGCTGACACACACAGTGTACACACACAGACACAGCTGACACACACAGTGTACACACAAAGACACGCATAGACACAGCTGACACGAGACACACAGTGTACACACAGAGACACGCATAGACACAGCTGACACACACACAGTGTACACACAGAGACACAGCTGACACACACACAGTGTACAGAGACACAGCTGACACACACACAGTGTACACACAGAGACACGCATAGACGCAGCTGACACACACAGAGACACAGCTGACACACATAGACACAGCTGACACACACAGAGACACACAGACACAGCTGACACACAGTGTACACACAGAGACACAACTGACACACACAGTGTACACACAAAGACACGCATAGACACAGCTGACACAGAGGCACACAGTGTACAGAGACACGCATAGACGCAGCTGACACACACAGAGACACACAGACACAGCTGACACACACAGTGTACACACAGAGACACGCATAGACACACACACAGTGTACACACACAGACACAGCTGACACACACACAGTGTACACACAGAGACACGCATAGACACACACACAGTGTACACACACAGACACAGCTGACACACACACAGTGTACACACAGAGACACGCATAGACGCAGCTGACAGAGACACAGCTGGGATTGTGAACAGACAACACGTGGCCTCGATTTTGCGTTCGCCAATAATATTTAATGTCCTCGCATGCAAATCACCTCCATCACATCGCAACACCTTCACCGAGCAAGGACACAGATCCATCCTCCCGTACACGCGAGGCTGTCAGTAGCAGCTGTAGGGGGGCCCACCACGTGCTGTCAGTAGCAGCTGTAGGGGGCCTACCACGTGCTGTCAGTAGCAGCTGTAGGGGGGGCCCACCACGTGCTGTCAGTAGCAGCTGCTGTAGGGGGCCCACCACGTGCTGTCAGTAGCAGCTGTAGGGGGCCCACCACGTGCTGTGAGTAGCAGCTGTAGGGGGCCCGTGGTGGTAGTAGCAGTGGTAGTGCGGTAGTGGTAGTAGCAGTGGTAGTGTGGTAGTGGTAGTGTGGTAGTGGTAGTAGCAATGGTAGTGCGGTAGTGGTAGTAGCAGTGGTAGTGTGGTAGTGGTAGTAGCAGTGGTAGTGTGGTAGTGGTAGTAGCGGTGGTAGTGTGGTAGTGGTAGTAGAAGTGGTAGTGTGGTAGTGGTAGTAGCAGTGGTAGTGGTAGTAGCAGTGGTAGTGTAGTAGTGGTAGTAGCGGTGGTAGTGTGGTAGTGGTAGTAGCAGTGGTAGTGCGGTAGTGGTAGTGTGGTAGTGGTAGTAGCAGTGGTAGTGTGGTAGTGGTAGTAGCAGTGGTAGTGTGGTAGTGGTAGTAGCAGTGGTAGTGTGGTAGTGGTAGTAGCAGTGGTAGTGTGGTAGTGGTAGTGTGGTAGTGGTAGTAGCGGTGGTAGTGGTAGTAGCAGTGGTAGTGCGGTAGTAGTAGTAGCAGTGGTAGTGTGGTAGTGGTAGTAGCAGTGGTAGTAGCAGTGGTAGTGGTAGTAGCAGTGGTAGTGTGGTAGTGGTAGTAGCAGTGGTAGTGCGGTAGTGGTAGTAGCGGTGGTAGTGTGGTAGTGGTAGTAGCGGTGGTAGTGTGGTAGTGGTAGTAGCGGTGGTAGTGTGGTAGTGGTAGTAGCAGTGGTAGTGTGGTAGTGGTAGTAGCAGTGGTAGTGTGGTAGTGGTAGTAGCAGTGGTAGTGAGGTAGTGGTAGTAGCAGTGGTAGTGCAGTAGTGGTAGTAGCAGTGGTAGTGTGGTAGTAGCAGTGGTAGTGTGGTAGTGGCGGTGGTAGTAGTGATGGTAGTAGCAGTAGCAGTGGTGGTAGTGGTGGTAGTGATCGTGGTGGTGGTAGTGGTGGTAGTGATCGTGGTGGTGGTAGTGATAGTGGCGGTGTTAGTGGCAGTGGTAGTAGTGGTGGTAGTGGCAGTAGCAGTGGTGGTAGTGGCAGTAGTGGTGGTGGTGGTGGTAGTGGCGGTGGTAGTAGTGGTGATAGTGGCAGTAGCAGTGGTGGTAGTGGCAGTAGTGGTGGTGGTGGTGGTAGTGGCGGTGGTAGTAGTGGTGGTCGTGATAGTAGTGATGGTAGTGGTAGTAGCAGTAGTGGTGGTGGTGGTAGTGGCAGTAGTGGTGGTGGTAGTGATGACAGTAGTGGTGGTGGTAGTGATAGTGGTGGTGGTGATGGTGGTGGTAGTGATAGTAGTAGTGACAGTGGTGATGGTGGTGATGGTGGTCGTGACAGTGATGATGGTGGTGATGGTGGTCGTGACAGTGATGATGGTGGTGATGATGATGTCGGTGATGGTTGCGACCACAGCTATCACGAACATCACCACAGACCCTGCAGGTGCCATGGGTTGACTGCCGTGCCAGGCTAGGTGCACGAGGAGGAGGTCAGGGGACAGACCCTGCAGGTGCCATGGGTTGACTGCTGTGCCAGGCTAGGTGCAGGAGGTCACGTGACAGGGCCAGCAGGTGCCATGGGTTGACTGCTGTGCCAGGCTAGGTGCACGAGGAGGTGGTCACGTGACAGACCCAGCAGGTGCCATGGGTTGACTGCCGTGCCAGGCTAGGTGCAGGAGGTCACTGGCAGATGCACCACCAACAGCACCATCGACAAATGGTTCTGTATGGGATGAGACTATGGTTCTGTATGGGATGAGGGTTCTGTATGGGATGAGTCTATGGTTCTGTATGGGATGAGACTATGGTTCTGTATGGGATGAGACTATGGTTCTGTATGTGATGAGTCTATGGTTCTGTATGGGATGAGACTATGGTTCTGTATGGGATGAGACTATGGTTCTGTATGGGATGAGGGTTCTGTATGGGATGAGGCTATGGTTCTGTATGGGATAAGACTATGGTTCTGTATGGGATGAGACTATGGTTCTGTATGGGATGAGGGTTCTGTATGGGATGAGTCTATGGTTCTGTATGGGATGAGACTATGGTTCTGTATGGGATGAGACTATGGTTCTGTATGTGATGAGTCTATGGTTCTGTATGGGATGAGACTATGGTTCTGTATGGGATGAGACTATGGTTCTGTATGGGATGAGGGTTCTGTATGGGATGAGTCTAGGGTTCTGTATGGGATGAGACCAGAGTTCTGTATGGGATGAGACCAGGGTTCTGTATGGGATGAGTCTATGGTTCTGTATGGGATGAGACTATGGTTCTGTATGGGATGAGACTATGGTTCTGTATGGGATGAGGGTTCTGTATGGGATGAGACTATGGTTCTGTATGGGATGAGGCTATGGTTCTGTATTGGATGAGACTATGGTTCTGTATGGGATGAGACTATGGTTCTGTATGGGATGAGACTATGGTTCTGTATGGGATGAGACTATGGTTCTGTATGGGATGAGACTATGGTTCTGTATGGGATGAGACTATGGTTCTGTATGGGATGAGACTATGGTTCTGTATGTGATGAGGCTATGGTTCTGTATGGGATGAGACTATGGTTCTGTATGGGATGAGTCTAGGGTTCTGTATGGGATGAGACCAGGGTTCTGTATGGGATGAGACCAGGGTTCTGTATGGGATGAGACTATGGTTCTGTATGGGATGAGACTATGGTTCTGTATGGGATGAGACTATGGTTCTGTATGGGATGAGACTATGGTTCTGTATGGGATGAGACTATGGTTCTGTATGGGATGAGGCTATGGTTCTGTATGGGATGAGACTATGGTTCTGTATGGGATGAGGGTTCTGTATGGGATGAGGCTATGGTTCTGTATGGGATGAGGGTTCTGTATGGGATGAGACTATGGTTCTGTATGGGATGAGGCTATGGTTCTGTATGGGATGAGACTATGGTTCTGTATGGGATGAGACTATGGTTCACCTCACATGTCCGCCCTACGTTCTATCGAGAAATCAGAAGCTGCCCTCCCTCCCGATGCATCATAGGAATTATCCCAGCATGCCCTGGGGCCTGCCTGGCCCCTCACATTCCCACCGCGTCCCCTCCCCCGGCTGCCGCTATTGGCTGCTTCGAAAGCTGGCCTCTGATTGGCCGATGAGAACTGTGCTGCCCTCTGATTGGCCAACGAGCTATGTGCTGGCCTCTGATTGGTCAATGAGCAATGTGGTGGCCTTTGAATGGACGAGTATGCTGGTGTGTCATTGGCCGACAAGCATGCTGGTCTGTCATTGGCTCTCGCAGAAGCTGGCTTGTGATTGGTTGACTGGTGTTCTTCGCTGCAATTGGTCGATAAAGACTCTGGATTGGCCAATGCGTATGCTGGCCTCTGATTGGTCGATGAAGGCACTATTCTGCGATTGGTTGCTGAGTAAGCCAGCTTCTGATTGGCCGATGAAGATGATGGCCCGCTCATGGTCGTTGCAGAATCCATGTTCCGATTGGCTGATAGAAATGCTGAGCTCCTATTGGCTACTGGAGCCGCAGAGCTCTGATTGGCTGAAGAGCAATCTTGCCTGTGATTGGCTGATGAATATGCTGGTTTCTGGTTGGCTGTAACAGAAGAGTTCTGATTGGTTGATGAGCATGCTGGCCTCTGATTGGCTGAAGACACTGGCCTGCGATTGGCGGTTGCACAAACTTGTCTGTGGTTGGTTGAATAGTGTTCTTCACTGTGATTGGCCATTGAAGATGCTTTGCTCCTATTGCCTGCTGCAACTCCAGGGTTCTGATTGGCCAATGTATAAGCTGGCTTGGGATTGGCTGATAATCTAGCCCTGTGATTGGCTGGAGAGAATCCTGGCCGCCTGTGGTTGGCTGATGCAGACAATGGTCTGTGATTGCCTGATGAAGATGCCCCAATCTCATTGGCTACTGAGTATTCCAATCTCTCATTGGTCAATGGCGATGAAAGCAATGATGGGGAGTTCTGATTGTCCTGCGATGACGACCCACAATAAGTCCCTTCAATCTGATTGGCTTCCGAAGATGCTGCGCTCTGATTGGCCGATTGTGAAACAGCTGGACTATCATTGGCTACTTTTGAAGATGCTACATCCTCTTTGGCCGATTGTAAAGCGGCTACATTCTCATTGGCTACTGAAGATGCTACATCATCATTCGCCGATTGTGAAGAAGCTATATTCTCATTGGCTACCGAGGATTCTACATCCTCATTGGCCAAGTGCGAAGAAGCTGGGCTCTGATTAGCCGTTCTCTCAGTGAATGGGTGACTCCGGTTGGCCCTTGCTCTTCCACGATTGGCCAAAAGCATTGTAGAAGAAACCGCCCTTCTATTGGTCGGCTCGTGGGGATCCTCCCAACATCCGGTTTCCTGATTGGTCAAACTCTCTTCGCTTCCAATGGCCCCTGAAAAAGGGGGCAGACCTCTCCTCTGATTGGCCGCACGGCCAAACGGCTCCCTCTGATTTGCCGGTCTCCTCCAACCGTCCCCACCCCTCATCCAGTTATGTCCGCTGTGATTGGCTGGCAAGTAGCCGCGCCTGTCTGCGTCGTCGCCCCTCATTGGCTGCTGGTGGTGGCGCCGGTGGTGAGGGCGGTGGTGGGGGCGGTAACGCTGCTGCTGACTGGACGGTGAAGAGTCGGTGTCCTCCGTGCTGATTGGCTGAGGAGGCGCAGAGAGCTCCAACGTGATAGGAGATTCTTCGACGCGCGTCTGAAAGAGACGGTGGGTGGGTTCAGTGGCCATGTGGGTGGGTGGGTGGGGTTCACAGTGGCCGTGTGGGTGGGTGGGGTTCACAGTGGCCGTGTGGGTGGGTGGGTGGGGTTCACGGTGGCCGTGTGGGTGGGTGGGGTTCACGGTGGCCGTGTGGGTGGGTGGGTGGGGTTCACAGTGGCCGTGTGGGTGGGTGGGGTTCACAGTGGCCGTGTGGGTGGGTGGGTGGGGTTCACAGTGGCCGTGTGGGTGGGTGGGGTTCACAGTGGCCGGGTGGGTGGGTGGGTGGGGTTCACGGTGGCCGTGTGGGTGGGTGGGGTTCACGGTGGCCGTGTGGGTGGGTGGGTGGGGTTCACAGTGGCCGTGTGGGTGGGTGGGTGGGGTTCACAGTGGCCGTGTGGGTGGGTGGGGGTCACAGTGGCTGTGTGGGTGGGTGGGTGGGGTTCACAGTGGCCGTGTGGGTGGGTGGGTGGGGTTCACAGTGACCGTGTGGGTGGGTGGGGTTCACAGTGGCCCTGTGGGTGGGTGGGTGGGGTTCACAGTGGCCGTGTGGGTGGGTGGGTGGGGTTCACAGTGGCCGTGTGGGTGGGTGGAGTTCACAGTGGCCGTGTGGGTGGGTGGGGTTCACAGTGGCCGTGTGGGTGGGTGGGGTTCACAGTGGCCGTGTGGGTGGGTGGGTGGGTTCACAGTGACCGTGTGGGTGGGTGGAGTTCACAGTGGCCGTGTGGGTGGGTGGAGTTCACAGTGGCCGTGTGGGTGGGTGGGGTTCACAGTGGCCGTGTGGGTGGGTGGGGTTCACAGTTGCCTTCACTATCTCCCACTCCTCTCACCGGTGCAGCCAATGGCGAATGTTCCACTCTCTCACTCTCGCTCTCTCTCTCTCGCCGCTGAAACCATACACGGACGGGGCTGTCCAGGAGCTACTGGACGGGGGGCCCTACCCCGAGCGGGATCGTCTGGACAGCGCCCCCGTCACCCCGCAGGAAGGGGCTCCACACCGCTGTGAAAGGGCCTCCGTGGCCTGCCGCTTGAGTTTCACGCGGCCTTCTGGGACGAGCGTGGCCCTCAACTGTTGGCGGAGAGGCCTGCCGAAAGGTGGGCGAGAACTCCCACGGGAGATCCGGGAGAGAGCGGACCCGCGCCTCCTCGCGGACTGGCGACCCCCCGGGTCTCCCGCCTTGTACGCCGACTACAAAATCTTCCCCCCGCCCCCCCCCGCCAAAAGGCGCGCGGGCGAACGGTCTCAAGGCCGCGCTGGATTCAATGGCTCCGACTCCCGGCCACGTAGTTTTACCCGGGCCCGCTCACCATCATGAAGGTCCTTAATGATCGTGAGCAGAGGGTGAGGGACTCCAAAAGCACGAAGAACGACCCAGAGCCCAGGCCTACTGATGGTATCGTAGGCCTTGACCAGGTCAATAAAGCAGAGATGTAGGTCTTGTTGGAATTCCCTACACCTCTGCTGTAGCAGACGGACAGAAAATATGGCATCTGTGCAGGACCGCCCTTTCCTGAAACCGCATTGGGGCTCCGCAAGCCTCTCCTCAGCGTGCCTGGCAAGGCGATGCTGAATAATCCTTGCCAGGACCTTTCCCGGCACACTGAACGGTCGCATGGCGTCCCCGGGTGGCGCGTAAACGGACGGCATCGGTGCGGTCAGAGGAGGCGAAAAATCCAGCGCGGGGCAACGCGGCGGGGGGGAGGGGGGCTGGGGCCTCCTCTTCTCCGGGGTCAGGCGAAGCCCTTCGGCGGGAGGGGGGGGGGGGGGGGGGGGTGAGGGGGGCGAGCCGCGGGCAGCCCGGACAAACTCCCCAACACCGCTCGGCTTCGCAGCAGGCCTTCACCTCGGGGCAGGCACGTCCGGCCCCCGTGCACGGGGCACGTCCGGCCCGCCTCGTGGATAATAAACCAGCGGCCCCGGTCGCCCAACTTTCCCTGTGACGAGGGTCGGGGGGGGTCGGGGGGTCAGGTGGGGACGTGGTGCGTACAGCAGAGGGCACCCCTCGGTGGATGTCGCCACCAGGGTCACGAGTTTCTAGACTCGTGACCCCTGGTGGACGTCACCACCAGGGGTCACGAGTTTCTAGACTCGTGACCCCTGGTGGACGTCACCACAGGGGTCACGAGTTTCTAGACTCGTGACCCCTGGTGGACGTCACCACAGGGGTCACAAGTTTCTAGACTCGTGACCCCTGGTGGACGTCGCCACCAGGGGTCACGAGTTTCTAGACTCGTGACCCCCTGGTGGACGTCACCACAGGGGTCAGAGGAAACAAGAAGATTCTCCGTGTAGTCGGCACTTTGCTCCGTTCTCTCTGCCCCTCCTCTCTCTCTCTGCCCCCTCTCCTTCCTACTCCATTTCGCTCTCTCTCGCTCACTCTCTCGCTCGCTCTCTCTCTTTGTTTAATAACTACGACTAGTGCTGCACCTGAACCCAGCCCTTCCCACGGTAAAAACGGCCTCCGACGGGGTCGCTCAGATCGGAGCGACCGCAGCCCCTTCCCACGTCCCTTGCGGCCACGTCTGCCGGCCCGAGTCACCGGCCTCGCGTGTTCCGGGCTCCGCCAGATCTCCCGTCCCGGTGAGCCACCACCACCACACCGTGGTGGTGGTGGTGGTGGTGGCGGTGGTGGTGGTGGTGGATGGCAGCTTTGTCTGCGGGGTTCCCGAGGATCGGTTCGAAGACCAGATCCTCGGACCGATCGCGGCCGGTTCGGCCTCCTGCCGGCGAGGGAGGTGGGGGCTTGCCCCAGTGGGAGGCCCTGCAAGTCCATGTAGGATAGTCGCTTGGAGCACTGCAGATCGCACCCCAGCTGTTTCAGGAGGTAGGACTCCCTCTCTATCTATCTCTCTCTCTCTATCTCTCTCTCTCTATCTCTCTCTCTATCTCTCTCTATCTATCTCTCTCTCTCTCTATCTCTCTCTCTATCTCTCTCTCTCTCTATCTCTCTCTCTATCTCTATAACTCTCTATCTCTCTCTCTCGCTCGCTCTCTCTCTATCTCTCTCTATCTCTGTCTCTCTCTCTCTCTATCTCTCTCTATCTCTCTCTATCTCTCTCTATCTCTCTCTGTCTCTATCTATCTCTATCTATCTCTCTCACTCTCTCGCTCTCTCTATCTCTCTGTCTCTCTCTCTATCTCTCTGTCTCTCTCTCTATCTCTATCTCTCTCTCTGTCTCTCTCTCTCTCTCTATCTCTCTCTCTCTCTATCTCTCTATCTCTCTCTCTCTAGCTCTCTCTCTATCTCTCTCTCTCTATCTCTCACTCTCTATCTCTCTCTATCTCTCTATCTCTCTCTCTATCTCTCTATCTCTCTCGCTCTCTCTCTATCTCTCTCTCTATCTCTCTATCTCTCTCGCTCTCTCTCTATCTCTCTCTCTATCTCTCTCTATCTATCTCTCACTCTCTCTATCTCTCTCGCTCTCTCTCTTTCTCTCTCTCTCGCTCTCTCTCTATCTATCTCTCTATCTCTCTCGCTCTTTCTCTCTCACGCTCTCACCGGTGTAGCCAGGCTGATGACGAATGCTCCGCGCTCCGTCTGCGTGTCCACGGTTCCGCCCCGCTCCCTCTGCCGTCTCAGCCCTCGCTCCGTCTCCTCACGGCGCTGCCGCTCCCTCTCATCCGGGACCCACGGCTCCTCCTGGGTGGGGTCACCGACGGGGTCGTGTGGGTGGGTGGTGTGGGTGGTGTGGGTGGGTGGGGTCACCGTGACAGTGTCTCTCACCGTAGGTCCCAGAGGCTCCTCTGCATTCTGAAGATCGACAATCTTCAGCTCCATCTCCGCCCGGCACACAGGGCACGGGGCCCTGACCACCTGACTCACGACCACAAGCACAATCACCACCACCATCACCATCACCACCATCACCACCACCATCACCACCACCATCACCATCATCATCACCACCACCATCACCACCACCACCACCATCACCACCATCACCACCACCATCACCACCACCATCACCACCACCATCACCACCACCACCACCATCACCACCACCATCACCACCACCATCACCACCATCACCACCACCATCACCACCACCACCACCACCATCACCACCACCATCACCACCATCACCACCACCACCACCATCACCACCACCACCACCACCATCACCACCACCATCACCACCACCATCACCACCATCACCACCACCACCACCATCACCACCACCATCACCACCACCACCATCATCACCACCACCATCACCACCACCATCACCACCACCACCATCACCATCATCATCACCACCACCATCACCACCACCATCACCACCACCATCACCACCACCATCACCACCATCACCACCATCACCACCACCACCATCACCATCACCACCACCACCACCATCACCACCATCACCACCACCACCACCACCACCATCACCACCACCACCACCACCATCATCATCACCACCACCATCACCACCACCACCACCATCACCACCACCACCATCACCACCACCACCATCACCGCAACCACCATCATCACCACTACCACCACCACAAACACAACCAAAACCACCGCCACCACAACCGCAACCATCACCACCACAACCACCACAACCACCACCAAAACCACCGCCACCACAACCACCACCACAACCACCGCCACCACAACCACCACAACCACCGCCACCACCAAAACCACCACCATCACCACCACCACCATCATCACCACCATCACCACCACCACCACCATCACCACCACCACCACCACCATCACCACCACCATCACCACTACCACCAACACCACCACCATCACCACCATCACCACCACCACCACCATCACCACCATCACCACTACCACCAACACCACCACCATCACCACCATCACCACCACCACCACCATCACCACCATCACCACCACCACCATCACCACCACCATCACCGCAACCACCACCACCACCATCACCACCACCACCACTACCATCACCACCACCACCATCACCACCATCACCACCACCATCACCACCACCATCACCACCACCATCACCACCACCACCACCACCCCATCACCACCACCACCACCACCACCATCACCTCCACCACCACCACCACCATCACCACCACCATCACCACCACCATCACCACCACCATCACCACCACCATCACCATCACCACCACCATCACCATCACCACCACCATCACCACCACCATCACCACCACCATCACCATCACCACCACCACCACCATCACCACCACCATCACCACCACCATCACCACCACCACCACTACCACCACCACCTCCACCACCACCATCACCACCACCACTACCACCACCACCACCATCACCTCGTCGTTTGTTGCCTCCTGCCCACCCCACCGCTCCTTCCCCGCCCCCTTGTGACTCTGCTCCGCCTCCTCGCGACTCTGCCCCGCCCCCTCGTGGCGCTGCCCCGCCCCTTCGTGACGCTGCTCCTCCCCGCCGTGACGCTGCCCCGCCCCCTCGTGACGCTGCTCCTCCCCCTCGCGACTCTGCCCCGCCTCCTCGTGACTCTGCCCCGCCCCCCCGTGACGTCGCCCCGCCCCCCCGTGACGCTGCGGTCGCTGGCGGCCCGGCCCCGCCCCCGCCGCCGCCAGCCTCCCCTCGGCCAGGCGGTGCAGCGCGTAGCGGCTCAGGCAGTGGGCGTGGAAGTAGTGGAAACACGGGGAACACACAAACGCCTCCGACTCCTACAGGGGTGGTGGTGGTGGTGGTGAGGTGGTGGTGGTGGTGGTGGTGGGGTGGTGGTGATGGTGGAGGGGTGGTGGTGGTGGAGGGGTGGTGGTGGTGTGGTGGTGGTGGGGTGGTGGTAGTGGTGGTGGAGTGGTGGTGGTGGTGGAGGGGTGGTGGTGGTGGTGGTGGTGGAGGGGTGGTGGTGGAGTGGTGGTGGTGGTGGTGGAGGGGTGGTGGTGGTGGGGTGGTGGTGGTGGTGATGGTGGAGGGGTGGTGGTGGTGGTGGTGGTGATGGTGGTGGAGAAGTGGTGGTGGTGGTGGGGTGGTGGAGGGGTGATGGTGGGGTGGTGGAGAAGGGGTGGTGGTGGTGTGGTGGTGGTGGTGTGGAGAAGGGGTGGTGGAGAAGGGGTGGTGGTGTGGTGGTAGTGGTGGTGGTGGGGTGGAGGGGTGGTGGTGGTGGTGGTGGAGGGGTGGTGGTGGTGGAGAAGGGGTGATGGAGGGGTGGTGGTGGAGAAGGGGTGGTGGTGACGGTAGTGGTGGGGTGGTGGTGGTGGTGGTGGTGATGGTGGTGGGGTGGTGGTGGTGGTGATGGTGGTGGTGGTGGTGATGGTGGGGTGGTGGTGGAGAAGGGGTGGTGGTGGTGATGGTGGTGGTGGTGGTGATGGTGGGGTGGTGGTGGAGAAGGGGTGGTGGTGGTGGTGGGGTGGTGGTGGTGGTGGTGGGGTGGTGGTGGTGGTGGTGGTGGGGTGGTGGTGATGGTGGAGCAGTGGTGGAGGGGTGGTGGTGGTGGTGATGGTGGTGACAGTGGTGGTGGTGGTGGTGGGGTGGTGGTGGTGGGGTGGTGGTGGTGGAGCAGTGGTGGAGGGGTGGTGGTGACGGTGGTGGTGACGGTGGTGGTGGGGTGGTGGTGGTGGGGTGGTGGTGATGATGATGGTGGTGGTGGTGGTGGAGGGGTGGTGGTGGTGGTGATGGTAACACATGTCCAGCAGTGCAGAGATCACGGGGCGGGATAGGGAGGCCGGAGAGAGACACAGAGAGAGACAGAGAGAGACACAGAGAGAGACAGAGAGAGAGACAGAGAGAGACACGGAGAGAGACAGAGAGAGACACAGAGAGAGACAGAGAGAGAGACAGAGAGAGACACGGAGAGAGACAGAGAGACACGGAGAGAGACACAGAAAGACAGAGAGAGACACAGAGAGAGAGACAGAGACACAGAGAGAGACACGGAGAGAGACACAGAGAGACACAGAGAGAGACAGAGAGACACAGAGAGAGACAGAGAGACACGGAGAGAGACACAGAGAGACACAGAGACAGAGAGACACAGAGAGAAACAGAGAGAGAGACAGAGAGACACAGAGAGAGACAGAGAGACAGAGACACATAGAGAGACAGAGAGATACAGAGAGACACCGAGACAGAGAGACACAGAGAGAGACAGAGACAGAGAGAGACAGAGACACAGAGAGAGACAGAGAGACACAGAGACAGAGAGAGAGACAGCGAGACACAGAGATAGAGAGAGACAGAGATAGAGAGACAGAGAGACACAGAGATACAGAGACACAGAGACACAGAGAGACAGAGAGACACAGACACAGAGACACAGAGAGAGACAGAGAGAGACACAGAGACAGAGAGACACAGAGATACAGAGACACAGAGAGAGACAGAGACAGAGAGACACAGAGATAGAGAGACAGAGATACAGAGACATACACAGAGATACATACACAGAGATACAGAGACAGAGAGAGACACAGACACAGAGACAGACAGAGAGACACAGAGAGACACAGAGAGACACAGAGATACAGAGAGACACACAGAGACACAGAGAGACACAGAGAGACACAGAGATACACAGAGATACAGAGATACAGAGACACAGAGAGACACACAGAGACACAGAGAGACACAGAGAGACACAGAGAGAAACAGAGAGACACAGAGATACAGAGTGAGACAGAGATACACAGATGTACCGCTCACCCACTCTTACCCAGCCACCAACCCCACCCACCACCCACCCCACACACCACCCACCCACCACCCACCACCACCAACCCCACCCACCACCACCCACCCCACCCACCCCACCCACCACCACACACCACACACCACCCACCCCACACACCACCCACCACCACCCACCACAGACCACCAACCCCACCAACCACCCACCCCCACCCACCCCACCCACCACCACACACCACCACCCACCACCACACACCACGACCCACCACCACCCACCCCACCCACCACCACCCACCACACACCACACACCACCCACCACCCACCCCCACCCACCCCACCCACCACCACACACCACCACACACCACCACCTACCACCACACACCACCACCCACCCCACACACCACCCACCCACCACCACCCACCACCCACCACCACCCACCACCCACCCCACCCACCACCCACCCCACCCACTACCCACCACCAACACCCACCACCACCCACCCACCACCCACCACCAACACCCACCACCACCCACCCACCTAACACCACCCACAACCCACCCCCCACCCACCACCACCCACCACCCACCATAACCACCACTACCCACACACACCCACCAACCACCACCACCCACCACCACCCATCCCCACCACCACCCACCCCCACCCACCACACACCACCCACCGACCACACACCACCCACCACCACCCACCCACCACCACCCACCCCACCCACCCCACCCACCCACCACCCACCCACCACCACCCACCTGCAGGCTGTAGAGACAGAGAGACACAGAGAGACACAGACACAGAGAGACACAGAGAGACAGACACAGAGACACAGAGAGACACAGAGAGACACAGAGAGACAGACATTGAGACAGAGAGACACAGAGAGAGACACAGACACAGAGAGACACAGAGAGACACAGAGAGACAGACACAGAGACACAGAGAGACACAGAGACACACAGAGACACAGAGAGACACAGAGACACAGAGACACAGAGACAGACAGAGAGAGACACACAGACACAGAGAGACACAGAGAGACAGACGTACCGCTCACCCACCACCCACCTGCAGGCTGTAGAGACAGATGGTGCAGGCACCGTGTGGGTGGCTGTTGATGGTGGTGAGCGCCTCCTTAGCCACCTGCAACAACACGGAACCATCACCACCACGCTCACCACCACGCTCACCACCACCACCACTCTCACCACACTCACCACCACCACCACTCTCACCACACTCACCACCACACTCACCACCACCACCACACTCACCACACTCACCACCACACTCACCCCCACCACCACACTCACCACACTCACCACCATCACCACCACGCTCACCACCACCACCACTCTCACCACCACCACGCTCACCACCACCACGCTCACCACCACCACCACCACCACCACTCTCACCACCACCACCATCACCACCACCACCACCACACTCACCACCACCACCACCACACTCACCACCACCACCACGCTCACCACCACCACCACGCTCACCACCACCACCACGCTCACCACCACCACCACACTCACCACCACCACCACCACCACGCTCAACACTCTCACCACCACGCTCACCACCACGCTCACCACCACCACCACCACCATCACCACCACCATCACCACCACACTCACCACCACGCTCACCGCCACTCTCACCACCACCATCACCACCACCACCACACTCACCACCACCACCACGCTCACCACCACCACCACCATCACCACCATCAACACCACCACACTCACCACCACCACCACCACACTCACCACCACCACTACCACCATCACCACACTCACCACCACCACCACCACGCTCACCACGCTCACCACCACCACTACCACCACTCTCACCACCACTACCACCACTACCACCACTCTCACCACCACCACCACCACCACGCTCACCACCACCACCACCACGCTCACCACCACCATGCTCACCACCACCATGCTCACCACCACCACTCTCACCACCACCATGCTCACCACCACCATGCTCACCACCACCATCACCACCACCACCACCACCACACTCACCACCACGCTCACCACCACGCTCACCACCACGCTCACCACCACCACCACCACGCTCACCACCACCACGCTCACCACCACCACGCTCACCACCACCACGCTCACCACCACCACGCTCACCACCACCACGCTCACCACCACTACGCTCACCACCACGCTCACCACCATCACCACCACCACCACCACCACACTCACCACCACCACCACCACACTCACCACCACCACCACCATCACCACCACCACCACACTCACCACCACACTCACCACCACCACCACTCTCACCACCACCACCACTCTCACCATCACCACCACCACACTCACCACGCTCACCACCACCATCACCACCACCACGCTCACCACCACCACTCTCACCACCACCACTCTCACCACCACGCTCACCACCATCACCACGCTCACCACCACGCTCACCACCACCACTCTCACCACCACCACTCTCACCACCACCACTCTCACCACCACCACCACGCTCACCACCACGCTCACCACCACGCTCACCACCACCACCACCACTCTCACCACCACCACGCTCACCACCACCACTCTCACCACCACCACCACCACCACTCTCACCACCACGCTCACCACCACCACCACGCTCACCACCACCACTCTCACCACCACCACTCTCACCACCACCACTCTCACCACCACCACTCTCACCACCACCACCACCACCACTCTCACCACCACCACCACCACTCTCACCACCACCACCACCACGCTCACCACCACCACCATCACCACCACACTCACCACCACCACTCTCACCACCACGCTCACCACCACCACCACTCTCACCACCACCACCACCACCACGCTCACCACCACCACTCTCACCACCACTTTCACCACCACCACCACCACCACGCCTCTCACTACCACCACCACGCTCACCACCACCACCACCACCACCACGCTCACCACCACGATGATGGTGGTGTTGTTGGTAATAATGGTGATGATGTTAGTGGTGGGAGCTGGGACTACATGAGCTTCGCACTACTGTACTTGTGTGTATGTCTGTCTGTGTGTCTGTATATGTGTGTGTGTCTGTGTGTGTCTGTGTGTGTTTGTGTGTGTGCAGTCAAAGGATGGCTCCCTATTGCTCAACCATGTTATGTATGCTGATGATTTGGTAATAGCTGCTCAGTCAGAGGAGGAGTTGGAGACGCTGCTGCTGAGACTGGAGCATGCCACTAAGAGGTGGGGCCTTACCATCAGCCCCACCAAAACTAACCACCTGCCTGGGTATTTTGTACCATCGGACACTCCACCCCCAAAACTCCCAATCGGTGATGGGGCAGTTGTGGAGAGAGTGGAGAGTTTCCCATACCTGGGCAGTGTGCTCATGACCGGCTCCAGTTTAACAGCAGAGGTCTCACTCCGAATCAGTCGAGCGGCAATATCTTTTCATCGGTTGCGTAACACTGTGTGGAAGCTACCCGGTCTGTCGCTCCGCACTAAGCTTCAGGTCTTCTCGGCCACGGTCATTCCCTCCCTTCTCTACGCTTGCGAAACGTGGACCCCCCTAATGGAACATCTTCGCCGGTTAGAAACATTTAGGCTGGCCTGCCTACGATCCATCCTGGGTTTAACCAGACTGGATTGTGTGAGGAGCTCACAAATCCTTGAAAGATCTGGGCAAGGTCCCATCGGTGAGCTCCTCCGGCAGGCAAGGATGCGATGGCTGGGTCATGTAGCCCGCATGCCCAGCCACCGCATGCCGAAACAGCTTTTGTTTGGCCGGATTGAGGGGGCTAAGCGGGCGCGGCACGGGCTAGAGAAGAGATGGAGTGATGTGGTACAGGAGGACGTGGAGCTGAGTGGACTTGCCGATGACTGGTACCAGCGGTGTCAAGATCGGCCTCTGTGGAGGAGGCTCGTGAAGGATGCTACTGGGCAGTTGGAGGCAGTCGCCCTCCAACAACAACGGAGGGCGGAGGAGCGACGCTCACAACAGCGAGCGGAGCGCCGGGTGGCTAAAGCACAGCAGGTTGGCACAGTAGGGGGCATAGGTGGTGCATCAGCCAGTCATTTCAGTCAGTCGACCCGTGGCACCTGGGTCTGCCCCGTGACCTCCTGCCAGCGGGCGTTCGACACTTCACGTGGCCTCAGGGTGCACATAGCCTGGCACAAGCGTCGTGGTGACGTCACCGCCACTTAGTGGCGAATGGCGGTTGTTGTTGTTGTATGTGTGTGTCTGAGTGTGTGTGTCTGAGTGTGTGTGTCTGTGTGTGTGTGTCTGTGTTTGTGTGTGTGCAGTCAAGGGATGGCTCCCTATTGCTCAACCATGTTATGTATGCTGATGATTTGGTAATAGCTGCTCAGTCAGAGGAGCAGTTGGAGATGCTGCTGCTGAGACTGGAGCGTGCCATTAAGAGATGGGGCCTTACCATCAGCCCCACCAAAACTAAGCACCTGCCTGGGTATTTTGTACCATCGGACACTCCACCCCCACAACTCCCAATCGATGATGGGGCAGTTGTGGAGAGAGTGGAGAGTTTCCCATACCTGGGCAGTGTGCTCATGACCGGCTCCAGTTTAACAGCAGAGGTCTCACTCCGAATCAGTCGAGCGGCAATATCTTTTCATCGGTTGCGTAACGCTGTGTGGAAGCTACCTGGTCTGTCGCTCCGCACTAAGCTTCAGGTCTTCTCGGCCACGGTCATTCCCTCCCTTCTCTACGCTTGCGAAACGTGGACCCCCTAATGGAACATCTTCGCCGGTTAGAAACATTTAGGCTGGCCTGCCTACGATCCATCCTGGGTTTAACCAGACTGGATTGTGTGAGGAGCTCACAAATCCTTGAAAGATCTGGGCAAGGTCCCATCGGTGAGCTCCTCCGGCGGGCAAGGCTGCATTGGCTGGGTCATGTAGCCCGCATGCCCAGCCACCGCATGCCGAAACAGCTTTTGTTTGGCCGGATTGAGGGGGCTAAGCGGGCGCGGCACGGGCTAGAGAAGAGATGGAGTGATGTGGTACAGGAGGACGTGGAGCTGAGTGGACTTGCCGATGACTGGTACCAGCGGTGTCAAGATCGGCCTCTGTGGAGGAGGCTCGTGAAGGATGCTACTGGGCAGTTGGAGGCAGTCGCCCTCCAACAACAACGGAGGGCGAAGGAGCGACGCTCAGAACAACGAGCGGAGCGCCGGGTGGCTAAAGCACAGCAGGTTAGCACAGTAGGGGGCACAGGTGGTGCATCAGCCAGTCATCTCAGTCATCTCAGTCAGTCGACCCGTGGCACCTGCTGGGTCTGCCCCGTGACCTCCTGCCAGCGGGCGTTCGACACTTCACGTGGCCTCAGGGTGCACATAGCCTGGCACAAGCGTCGTGGTGACGTCACCGCCACTTAGTGGCGAATGGCGGTTGTTATTGTTGTCCGTGTGTCTGTCTGTGTGTGTGTGTCTATGTGTGTCTGTGTCTATGTGTGTCTGTGTCTATGTGTGTCTGTGTCTGTGTGTGTCTGTGTCTATGTGTGTCTGTGTCTGTGTGTGTCTGTGTGTGTCTGTGTCTATGTGTGTCTGTGTCTATGTGTGTCTGTGTCTTAGGTGCTGCTACTCGCTACTAACAGCACTTGCCCCTACAGCCCTGTTAGAGGCTACACGGGGTACCTTTGTCTGTGTGTGTAGGTGCTGCTACTCGCTACTGACAGCACTTGCCCCTACAGCCCTATTAGAGGCTACACGGGGTACCTTTGTCTGTGTGTGTAGGTGCTGCTACTCGCTACTGACAGCACTTGCCCCTACAACCTGTTAGAGGCTACACGGGGTACCTTAGTCTGTGTGTGTAGGTGCTGCTACTCGCTACTGACAGCACTTGCCCCTACAACCTGTTAGAGGCTACATGGGGGATCTTTGTCTTTGTCTCTGACCTGCACGAGCTGGAACAGAACAGCTGAGCCCAGCTGCTCCTGCGCCAAGATCCTCAACGTCTCCACCAACCTGGACCACAACCACCACAACCACCATCATCATCACGATTATCACCACAACCACCACCACAACCACCACCACAACCATCATCATCATCATCACGACCACCACAACCACCACCACCACCACAACCACCATCATCATCACAATTACCACCACAACCACCACCACAACCATCATCATCATCACGACCACCACAACCACCACCACAACCACCACAACCACCATCATCATCACGACCACCACAACCACCACCACAACCATCATCATCAACATCATCACGATCACCACAACCACCACCACCACAACCATCATCATCATCACGACCACCACAACCACCACAACCACCACAACCACCATCATCATCACGACCACCACAACCACCACCACAACCATCATCATCAACATCATCACGATCACCACAACCACCACCACAACCATCATCATCACGATTACCACCACCACAATCACCACCACCACAACCACCACCACAACCATCATCATCATGACCACCACCACCACAATCACCACCATCACCACCACCACAATCACCACCATCACCACCACCACAACCACCACTACAACCATCATCATCATCATCATCGCGACCACCATAACCACCACCACCACCACCACCACAACCACCACCACCACAACCATCATCATCATGACCACCACCACAATCACCACCATCACCACCACCATCATCATCACGACCACCACAACCACCATCATCATCATCACGATCACCACAACCACCACCACCACAACCACAACCACCACCACCACCATCATCATTATCAGGATTACCACCACCACAATCACCACCATCACCATCACGACCACCACAACCACCACCACCACAACCACCATCATCATCACGATTACCACCACCAGCACCACAACCACCACCACCACCATCATCAACATCACCACCACCACAACCACCATCAACATCACCATCACCACCACCACCATCATCATCCTCATCACGACCACCACAACCACCATCAACATCACGATTACCACCACCACAATCACCACCATCACGACCACCACCACAAGCACCACCACAACCATCATCATCATCACGATTACCACAACCACCATCATCATCATCACGATCACCACAACCACCACCACCACAACCATCATCATCATGACCACCACCATCATCATCACGATTACCACAACCACCACCACCACCACAACCACCATCATCATCATCACGACCAGCACAACCACCACCACAACCACCATCACCATCACCACCACCACCACCATCGCCACCACCATCACCACCACCATCACAACGACCACCACAACCACCACCATCACGACCACCACAACCATCATCATCACAAGATGCACCACCACAACCACCACAACCATCATCATCACCACCACCACAACAACAACCGCCATTCGCCACTGTGTGGTGGCAGTAACGTCACCACGACGCTTGTGCCAGGCTAAGTGCGCCTTGAGGCCACCACGTGAAGTGTCGAACACCCACCGGCAGGAGGTCACGGGGCAGACCCAGCAGGTGCCACGGGTCGACTGACTGAGATGACTGCCACAACTACCAGCACCACAACTGTCATCATCCCAACCACCACAACAATCATCATCCCAACCACCATCACAATCATCACAACCACCATCACAACCACCACCACAATCATCACAACCACCACCACCACAACTATCATCATCCCAACCACCACCACCACAACTATCATCATCCCAACCACCACAACCACCAAAACAACAATCATCACAACCACCACCACAACCACCACCACCATCATCACAACCACCACCACAACTATCATCATCCCAACCACCACAACCACCACCACCACAACCATCACAACCACCACCACAACCACCACCACAATCACCACAACCACCACCACAACCACCACCACAATCATCACAACCACCACCACAACCACCACCACAATCATCACAACCACCACCACAACCACCACCACAATCATCACAACCACCACCACAACCACCACCACAACCACCACCACAATCATCACAACCACCACCACAACCACCACCACAATCATCACAACCACCACCACAACCACCACCACAACCACCACCACAATCATCACAACCACCACCACAACCACCACCAGAATCATCACAACCACCACCATTCTCTCTCTCTCACCCGTCAATCTGCTGCTCCGAGAACCCTCTGGGATTACTGATTGTGATGAGTGGAGTAGAACACGGATACTGGGGGGGGGGGGGGGAGAGACACGGAGACAGTTACACACACACAGTGACACACACACACACAGTGACACACACACACACAGTGACACACACACACACAGTGACACACACTCACACAGAGACACACACTCACACACACACAAACACAAAGACACACTCACACACAAAGACACACTCACACACAGACACACAGTGACACACAGACACACACACACACACAAAGACAAAGGTAAAAAAGATCCCCCATATAGCCTTAACAGACTGTAGGGGCAAGTGCTGTTAGCGAGCACCTATGAAGGCCGGAACGGTACACGAGGGGGTGGGTGGCCAGCACCACGCCCGACCGCCTTTGTCTCCCTAGTGGCAATGTTTACACACCGCGCCAGGTACTCATTGAGGCTGAGTCGACCTAGGGGAGGCCCGGGACCGGTTCAGATAATCGTCACTGGTGTTGGCCGTGAGCGGGAATCGAACCCGGGTCGCCAGGTTCATAGCGCAGCGTAGCGCTAACAACACACACACACACCTACACACACACCTACACACACCTACACACCTATACACACCTACACACACAACTACACACGCACACCTACACATGACAGACCGAGTGCTGTAGCTGCAGGTGTAGGCTCAGCCTCACACTCACACACAGAAACACACTCACACACACTCACAGACACACACAGTGACACACACAGTGACACACACACACAGTGACAAACACACACACAGTGACACACACACAGTGACACACACACACTCACAGTGACGCACAGTGACAGTGACAGACACAGTGACACACACACACTCACAGTGACACACACACTCACAGTGACACACACACTCACAGACACACTCACACACAGTGACACACACACAGTGACAGACACACAGACACACACACACACCGAGTGCTGTAAGCTGCAGGTGTAGGCTCAGCCTCACACTCACACAGAGTGACACACACACACACAGTGACACACACACAGTGACACACACAGACAGTGACACACACAGACAGTGACACACACACACACAGTGACACACACACACACAGTGACACACACACACAGTGACACACACACACACAGTGACACACACAGACAGTGACACACACACAGACAGTGACACACACACAGTGACACACACAGACAGTGACACACACAGACAGTGACACACACACACTCACACACACAGTGACACACACACACAGTGACACACACAGACAGTGACACACACACACAGTGACACACACACACACAGTGACACACACACACAGTGACACACACAGACAGTGACACACACACACTCACACACACACAGTGACACACACAGACCGAGCGCTGTAGCTGCAGGTGTAGGCTCAGCCTCACACTCAGACACAGTGACACACACAGACACAGTGACACACACACAGTGACACACACACAGTGACACACACACAGTGACACACACACAGTGACACATACACACACAGTGACACACCACGCCCGACCGCCTTTGTCTCCCTAGTGGCAATGTTTACACACCGCACCAAGTACTAATTTGAGGCTGAGTCGACCTAGGGGAGGCCCGGGACCGGTTCAGATAATCGTCACTGGTGTTGGCCGTGAGCGGGAATCGAACCCGGGTCGCCAGGTTCATAGCGCAGCGTAGCGCTAACCGCTACACAGAGACACACACACAGACACACAGTGACATACACACAGTGACACACACAGACAGTGACACACACACACAGTGACACACACACACACAGTGACACACACACACACACAGTGACACACACAGTGACACAGACACACACAGTGACACACACACACAGTGACACACACACACAGTGACACACACACAGTGACACACTCACACACAGTGACACACACACAGTGACACACCCACAGTGCCACACACACAGTAACACACACACAGTAACACACACAGACACTCAAACACACACACAGTGACACACACAGACCGAGTGCTGTAGCTGGAGGTGTAGGCTCAGCCTCACACACACACACAGACACAGTGACACACACAGACACAGTGACACACACACACAGTGACACACACACAGTGACACACACACACAGTGACACACACACAGTGACACACACACAGTGACACACACACAGTGACACACACACAGTGACACACACACAGTGACACACACACAGTGACACACACACACACAGTGACACACACACAGTGACACACACACTGTGACACACACACACACTGTGACACACACACTGTGACACACACACACAGTGACACACACACAGTGACACACACACAGTGACACACACACAGTGACACACACACAGTGACACACACAGTGACACACACACACAGTGACACACACACACAGTGACACACACACAGTGACACACACACACAGTGACACACACACACAGTGACACACACAGTGACACACACAGTGACACACACACACAGTGACACACACACACAGACACACACACAGACACAGACACACACACACAGACACACACACACAGACACACACACACAGACACACACACACACCGAGTGCTGTAGCTGCAGGTGTAGGCTCAGCCTCACACTCACACACACACAGACACACACACAGACACACACACAGACACACACACAGACACACTCACACACACACACAGACACACACACAGACACACACACAGACACACACACACTCACACACACACACACACAGACACACACACAGACACACACACAGACACACACACAGACAAAGACAAAGATCCCCCGTATAGCCTGAACAGACTGTAGGGGCAAGTGCTGTTAGCGAGCACCTATGAAGGCCGGAACGGTACACGAGGGGGTGGGTGGCCAGCACCACGCCCGACCGCCTTTGTCTCCCCAGTGGCAATGTTTACACACCGCACCAGGTACTCATTTGAGGCTGAGTCGACCTAGGGGAGGCCCGGGACCGGTTCAGATAATCGTCACTGGTGTTGGCCGTGAGCGGGAATCGAACCCGAGTCGCCAGGTTCATAGCGCAGCGTAGCGCTAACCGCTACACAGAGACACACACACAGACACACAGTGACATACACACAGTGACACACACAGACAGTGACACACACACACAGTGACACACACAGACAGTGACACACACACACAGTGACACACACACACACAGTGACACACACACACACACAGTGACACACACAGTGACACAGACACACACAGTGACACACACACACAGTGACACACACACAGTGACACACACACAGTGACACACACACACAGTGACACACACACACACAGTGACACACACAGTGACACAGACACACACAGTGACACACACACACAGTGACACACACACACACACAGACACACACCGAGTGCTGTAGCTGCAGGTGTAGGGTCAGCCTCACACACACACACAGACACACAGTGACACACACACAGTGACACACTCTCACACACACAGTGACACACACACAGACACACACACACAGTGACACACACACACACCGAGTGCTGTAGCTGCAGGTGTAGGCTCAGCCTCACACACACACACACACAGACACACAGTGACACACATACACACAGTGACACACTCACACATAGACAGACACACACACAGTGACACACACAGTGACACACACAGTGACACACACACTGTGACACACACAGTGACACACACACAGTGACACACACACACACAGTGACACACACACACACACAGTGACACACACACACACAGTGACACACACACACACAGTGACACACACACACACAGCGACACACACAGTGACACACACACACACACACCGAGTGCTGTAGCTGCAGGTGTAGGCTCAGCCTCACACACACACACAGTGACACACACACAGTGACACACACACACAGTGACACACACACAGTGACACACACACAGTGACACACACACACAGACACACACACACACCGAGTGCTGTAGCTGCAGGTGTAGGCTCAGCCTCACGAAGCCCAGCGCTGGATCCTCGCCCGTGGCCGGGGCCAAGTGGACAGTCACCTGCCATGGGTGGGGACTGCAACAACAACAAACAACAACCACCACAACAATCACCAAGACCCCCACCACCACCACAACAACAACCACCACCGCCACAACAATAATCACCAAGACCACCGCCACAACAATAATCACCAAGACCACCACAACAACAACAATAATCACCAAGACCACAACAAACACCACAACAACAATCACCACCACAACAACAACAATCACCAACACAACAACAATCACCACCACCACAACAACAACAATCACCAACACAACAACAATCACCACCACCACAACAACAACAATCACCAAGACCACCACCACAACAACAAAAACCACCACAACAACAAAAACCACCACAACAACAACAACCACCACCAACACCACAACAACAATCACCACCAACACCACAACAACAATCACCAACACCACAACAATCACCACCAACACCACAACAACAACCACCACCACAATCACCAAGATCACCACCACAACAACAACAACAACCACCACCACAACAACAACAATCACCAACACAACAACAATCACCACCACCACAACAACAACAATCACCAAGACCACCACCACAACAACAACAACAATCACCAAGACCACCACCACCACAACAACAAAAACCACCACAACAACAACAACCACCACCAACACCACAACAACAATCACCACCAACACCACAACAACAATCACCAACACCACAACAATCACCACCAACACCACAACAACAATCACCAACACAACAACAATCACCACCAACACCACAACAACAATCACCAACACAATAACAATCACGACCACAACAACAACAATCACCAACACCACAACAACAATCATCACCACCACAACAACAACAACCACCACAACAACAACAATCACCACCACCACAACAACAACAATCACCACCACAACAACAACCACCACCGCCACAACAACAACCACCACCGCCACAACAATAATCACCAACACCACAACAACAATCACCAACACAACAACAATCACCACCAACACCACAACAACAATCACCAACAAAACAACAATCACCACCAACACCACAACAACAATCACCAACACAACAACAATCACCACCACCACAACAATCACCAACACAACAACAATCACCAAGACCACCACAACAACAATCACCAACACCACCACCACCACAACAACAATCACCAACACCACCACCACCACAACAACAATCACCAACACCACCACCACCACAATCACCAAGACCACCACCACAACAACAACAACCACCACCACCACAACAACAATCACCAACACAACAACCACCACAACAACAACAATCACCAACACAATAACAATCACCAACACAACAACAATCACCACCACCACAACAACAATCACCAAGACCACCACTACAACAACAACAATCACCAAGACCACCACCACCACCACAACAACAAAAACCACCACAACAACAACAACCACCACCAACACCACAACAACAATCACCACCACAACAACAACAATCACCAACACCACCAACACCACAACAACAATCACCAACACAACAACAATCACCACCAACACCACAACAACAATCACCAACACAATAACAATCACCACCACAACAACAACAATCACCAACACCACAACAACAATCATCACCACCACCACCACAACAACAACAACCACCACAACAACAACAATCATCACCACCACAACAACAACAATCACCACCACAACAACAACCACCACCGCCACAACAATAATCACCAACACCACAACAACAATCACCAACACAACAACAATCACCACCAACACCACAACAACAATCACCACCATCACAACAATCACCAACACAACAACAATCACCAAGACCACCACCACCACAACAACAATCACCAACACCACCACCACCACCACCACAACAACAATCACCAACACCACCACAACAACAATCACCAACACCACCACCAACACAACCACAATCACCAACACCACCACCACCACAACAACAATCACCAACACCACCACCAACACAACAACAATCACCAAGACCACCACCACAACAACAACAACCACCACCACAACAATCACCAACACAACAACAACCACCACCACAACAACAACAATCACCAACACAACAACAATCACCACCACCACAACAACAATCACCAAGACCACCACCACAACAACAACAATCACCAAGACCACCACCACAACAACAATCACCAAGACCACCACCACAATCACCAAAACCACCACCACAACAACAATCACCAAGACCACCACCACCACCACAATCACCAAGACCACCACCACAACAACAACAACCACCACCACAACAACAATCACCAACACAACAACAACCACCACCACAACAACAACCACCACCACAACAACAACAATCGCCAACACAACAACAATCACCACCACCACAACAACAATCACCAAGACCACCACCACAACAACAACAATCACCAAGACCACCACCACAACAACAATCACCAAGACCACCACCACCACAATCACCAAAACCACCACCACAACAACAATCACCAAGACCACCACCACCACAATCACCAAGACCACCACCACAACAACAACAACAATCACCAACACAACAACAATCACCACCACCACAACAACAACAATCACCAACACAACAACAATCACCAAGACCACCACCACCGCAACAACAATAATCACCAAGACCACCACCACCACAATCACCAAGACCACCACCACAACAACAACAACCACCACCACAACAACAACCACCAACACAACAACCACCACCACAACAACCACCACCACCACAACAACAACAACAACCACCACCACCACAACAACAACAATCACAAAGACTACCACCACAACAACAACAATCACCAGGACCACCGCCGCCACCACCACCACAACAATCACCAGGATCACCACGACAACCACAACCACCACAAACACCACCACGATCACCACGACAACCACCAACATCACCATCACCACAACAACAACAACAACAACCACAACCACCACAACCATCACCAGAACCGCCACCACAACCATCGCCAGGATCACCACGACAACCAACATCACCACCAACACCACAACAACCACAACCACCACAACCATCGCCAGGATCACCACGACAACCAACATCACCTCCAACACCACAACAACCACAACCACCACAACCATCGCCAGGATCACCACGACAACCAACATCACCACCAACACCACAACCATCGCCAGGATCACCACGACCACAACCGCACGAAGGCACTGCTACCACCACCACCACCACCACCACAACAACCAACATCACCGCCACATCCACCACCACCAGCACTACAACCATCAGCAACAACAACCATCAGAAACACAAACTGACACCCACACTCCACACATACACAACACAACAACCACCATTCGCCACTAAGTGGCGGTGACGTCACCACGACGCTTGTGCCAGGCTATGTGCACCCTGAGGCCACGTGAAGTGTCGAACGCCCGCTGGCAGGAGGTCACGGGGCAGACCCAGGTGCCACGGGTCGACTGACTGAGATGACTGGCTGATGCACCACCTGTGCCCCCTACTGTGCCAACCTGCTGTGCTTTAGCCACCCGGCGCTCCGCTCGTTGTTGTGAGCGTCGCTCCTCCGCCCTCCGTTGATGTTGAAGGGCGACTGCCTCCAAATTCCCAGTAGCCTTATGGTGCACCTAGCCTGGCACTGCCCAGTAGCAGCGTCCTTCACGAGCCTCCTCCACTGAGGCCGATCTTGACACCGCTGGTACCGGTCATCGGCAAGTCCACTCAGCTCCACATCCTCCTGTACCACATCACTCCATCTCTTCTCTAGCCCGTGTCACTCACTCACCCACTCACCCACCTACTCACCTACCCACCTACTCACCCACCCAGCTACTCACCCACCCACCTACTCACCCACCCACCCACACACTCACCCACCCACACACTCACCCATCCACTCACTCACACATCCACTCACTCACCCACCCACCTACTCACCCACCCACCTACTCACCCACCCACCCACTCACCCACCCACCCACACACTCACCCACTCACCCACCCACACACTCACTCACGTACTCACTCACCCACTCACCCACCCACTCACCCACCCACTCACACACTCACACACTCACCCACTCACCCACCCACTCACCCACTCACCAACCCACTCACTCACCCACTCATCCACTCACTCACCCACCCACTCACTCACCCACTCACTCACTCACCTCACTCACCTCACTCACCCACTCACCCACTCACCCACTCACCCACTCACTCACCCACTCACTCACCCACTCACTCACCCACTCACTCACTCACTCACCCACCCACCCACTCACCCACCCACCCACCCACACACTCACCCACTCACCCACCCACACACTCACTCACCCACTCACTCACCCACTCACCCACTCACCCACCCACTCACACACTCACACACTCACCCACTCACCCACCCACTCACCCACTCACCAACCCACTCACTCACCCACTCACCCACTCACTAACCCACTCACTCACCCACTCACCCACTCACTAACCCACTCACTCACACACTCACCCACTCACTCACCCACTCACTCACCCACTCACTAACCCACCCACCCACTCACTCACCCACTCACTAACCCACCCACCCACTCACCCACTCACTCACCCACTCACTCACCCACCCACTCACTCACCCACTCACCCACCCACCCACTCACCCACCCACTCACTCACACACACACTCACCCACCCACCCACTAACCCACGCACTCACCCACTCACTCACCCACTCACCCACTCACTAACCCACCCACCCACTCAACCACTCACCCACTCACTAACCCACCCACCCACCCAACCACTCACCCACTCACTCACTCACCCACTCACTCACCCACCCACTCACCCACTCACTCACCCACTCACTCACTCACCCACTCACCCACCCACCCACTCACTCACCCACCCACTCACTCACCCACTCACTCACCCACTCACCCACCCACTCACCCACTCACCCACTAACTCACTCACCCACTCACCCACCCACTCACCCACTCACCCACTCACTCACTCACTCACCCACTCACTCACCCACCCACTCACCCACCCACTCACCCACACACTCACCCACCCACCCACCCACTCACCCACTCACCCACTCACCCACCCACTCACCCACTCACCCACTCACTCACTCACTCACCCACTCACTCACCCACCCACTCACCCACCCACTCACCCACACACTCACCCACCCACCCACTCACCCACTCACCCACCCACTCACCCACTCACCCACTCACTCACTCACTCACCCACACACTCACCCACTCACTCACCGTCCGTCTTCATGAGTCACCGTCATGTCGTCCAGAAATATCGCCTGGAGCACCTCCAGCTCCGATTGCAACGGCCTGGCCAGAGTGGACACACACAAGGAGCCTCAGCCTGGCTGTGAGCCTCAGGCTGGCTCACTGAGCCACACCCATTAACACTGAACCCTATGGGAGTGAGCCTCACCCATTAACACTGAACCCTATGGGGAGAGAGCCTCACCCATTAACACTGAACCCTATGGGGAGTGAGCCTCACCCATTAACACTGAACCCTATGGGGAGTGAGCCTCAGTCTGGCTCTATGAGCCTCACCCATTAACACTGAACCCTATGGGAGTGAGCCTCACCCATTAACACTGAACCCTATGGGAGTGAGCCTCACCCATTAACACTGAACCCTATGGGGAGCGAGCCTCAGTCTGGCTCAGTGAGCCTCACCCATTAACACTGAACCCTATGGGAAGTGAGTCTCACCCATTAACACTGAACCCTATGGGAGTGAGCCTCACCCATTAACACTGAACCCTATGGGAGTGAGCCTCACCCATTAACACTGAACCCTATGGGGAGTGAGCCTCACCCATTAACACTGAACCCTATGGGGAGTGAGCCTCAGCCCGGCTCAGTGAGCCTCAGCCCGGCTCAGTGAGCCTCAGCCCGGCTCAGTGAGCCTCAGCCCGGCTCAGTGAGCCTCAGCCCGGCTCAGTGAGCCTCAGTGATTGACACCAAACCCTATGGGGAGCGAGCCTCACCCATTAACACTGAACCCTATGGGGAGCGAGCCTCACCCATTAACACTGAACCCTATGGGGAGCGAGCCTCACCCATTAACACTGAACCCTATGGGGAGCGAGCCTCACCCATTAACACTGAACCCTATGGGAGTGAGCCTCACCCATTAACACTGAACCCTATGGGAGTGAGCCTCACCCATTAACACTGAACCCTATGGGAGTGAGCCTCAGTCTGGCTCTATGAGCCTCACCAATTAACACTGAACCCTATGGGGAGTGAGCCTCACCCATTAACACTGAACCCTATGGGAGTGAGCCTCACCCATTAACACTGAACCCTATGGGGAGTGAGCCTCACCCATTAACACTGAACCCTATGGGAGTGAGCCTCACCCATTAACACTGAACCCTATGGGAGTGAGCCTCACCCATTAACACTGAACCCTATGGGGAGCGAGCCTCACCCATTGACACTGAACCCTATGGGGAGTGAGCCTCAGTCTGGCTCAGTGAGCCTCACCCATTAACACTGAACCCTATGGGGAGCGAGCCTCACCCATTAACACTGAACCCTATGGGAGTGAGCCTCACCCATTGACACTGAACCCTATGGGAGTGAGCCTCAGTCTGGCTCTATGAGCCTCACCAATTAACACTGAACCCTATGGGGAGTGAGCCTCACCCATTAACACTGAACCCTATGGGAGTGAGCCTCACCCATTAACACTGAACCCTATGGGGAGCGAGCCTCACCCATTAACACTGAACCCTATGGGGAGCGAGCCTCACCCATTAACACTGAACCCTATGGGAGTGAGCCTCACCCATTAACACTGAACCCTATGGGGAGCGAGCCTCACCCATTAACACTGAACCCTATGGGGAGCGAGCCTCACCCATTAACACTGAACCCTATGGGAGTGAGCCTCACCCATTAACACTGAACCCTATGGGAGTGAGCCTCACCCATTAACACTGAACCCTATGGGGAGAGAGCCTCACCCATTAACACTGCACCCTATGGGAGTGAGCCTCAGTCTGGCTCTATGAGCCTCACCAATTAACACTGAACCCTATGGGGAGTGAGCCTCACCCATTAACACTGAACCCTATGGGAGTGAGCCTCACCCATTAACACTGAACCCTATGGGAGTGAGCCTCACCCATTAACACTGAACCCTATGGGGAGCGAGCCTCAGTCTGGCTCAGTGAGCCTCACCCATTAACACTGAACCCTATGGGGAGCGAGCCTCACCCATTAACACTGAACCCTATGGGGAGCGAGCCTCACCCATTAACACTGAACCCTATGGGGAGCGAGCCTCACCCATTAACACTGAACCCTATGGGGAGCGAGCCTCACCCATTAACACTGAACCCTATGGGGAGCGAGCCTCACCCATTAACACTGAACCCTATGGGGAGCGAGCCTCACCCATTAACACTGAACCCTATGGGAGTGAGCCTCAGTCTGGCTCTATGAGCCTCACCCATTAACACTGAACCCTATGGGGAGTGAGCCTCACCCATTAACACTGAACCCTATGGGAGTGAGCCTCACCCATTAACACTGAACCCTATGGGAGTGAGCCTCAGTCTGGCTCTATGAGCCTCACCCATTAACACTGAACCCTATGGGAGTGAGCCTCACCCATTAACACTGAACCCTATGGGAGTGAGCCTCAGTCTGGCTCTATGAGCCTCACCCATTAACACTGAACCCTATGGGGAGCGAGCCTCACCCATTAACACTGAACCCTATGGGAGTGAGCCTCACCCATTGACACTGAACCCTATGGGAGTGAGCCTCACCCATTAACATTGAACCGGATGGGGAGCAAGCCTCACCCATTAACACTGAACCCTATGGGAGTGAGTCTCACCCATTAACACTGAACCCTATGGGAGTGAGCCTCACCCATTAACACTGAACCCTATGGGGAGCGAGCCTCACCCATTAACACTGAACCCTATGGGGAGCGAGCCTCACCCATTAACACTGAACCCTATGGGGAGTGAGCCTCAGTCTGGCTCTGTGAGCCTCACCCATTAACACTGAACCCTATGGGGAGTGAGCCTCACCCATTAACACTGAACCCTATGGGAGCGAGCCTCACCCATTAACACTGAACCCTATGGGGAGTGAGCCTCAGTCTGGCTCTATGAGCCTCACCCATTAACACTGAACCCTATGGGGAGCGAGCCTCACCCATTAACACTGAACCCTATGGGAGTGAGCCTCACCCATTAACACTGAACCCTATGGGGAGCGAGCCTCACCCATTAACACTGAACCCTATGGGGAGTGAGCCTCAGTCTGGCTCTATGAGCCTCACCCATTAACACTGAACCCTATGGGGAGTGAGCCTCACCCATTAATACTGAACCCTATGGGAGTGAGCCTCACCCATTAACACTGAACCCTATGGGAAGTGAGTCTCACCCATTAACACTGAACCCTATGGGAGTGAGTCTCACCCATTAACACTGAACCCTATGGGAGTGAGCCTCACCCATTAACACTGAACCCTATGGGGAGCGAGCCTCACCCATTAACACTGAACCCTATGGGGAGCGAGCCTCACCCATTAACACTGAACCCTATGGGAGTGAGCCTCACCCATTAACACTGAACCCTTAGGGGAGTGAGCCTCACCCATTAACACTGAACCCTATGGGGAGCGAGCCTCACCCATTAACACTGAACCCTATGGGAGAGGGAGCCTCACCCATTAACACTGAACCCTATGGGAGTGAGCCTCACCCATTAACACTGAACCCTATGGGAGTGAGCCTCACCCATTAACACTGAACCCTATGGGAGTGAGCCTCACCCATTAACACTGAACCCTATGGGAGTGAGCCTCACCCATTAACACTGAACCCTATGGGGAGTGAGCCTCAGTCTGGCTCTGTGAGCCTCACCCATTAACACTGAATCCTATGGGAGTGAGCCTCACCCATTAACACTGAACCCTATGGGGAGTGAGCCTTACCCATTAATACTGAACCCTATGGGGAGCGAGCCTCAGTCTGGCTCTGTGAGCCTCACCCATTAACACTGAATCCTATGGGGAGTGAGCCTCACCCATTGACACTGAACCCTATGGGGAGTGAGCCTCACCCATTAACACTGAACCCTATGGGGAGCGAGCCTCACCCATTAACACTGAACCCTATGGGAGCGAGCCTCACCCATTAACACTGAACCCTATGGGGAGCGAGCCTCACCCATTAACATTGAACCCTATGGGAGCGAGCCTCACCCATTAACACTGAACCCTATGGGAGCGAGCCTCACCCATTAACACTGAACCCTATGGGGAGCGAGCCTCACCCATTAACACTGAACCCTATGGGAGTGAGCCTCACCCATTAACACTGAACCCTATGGGAGCGAGCCTCACCCATTAACACTGAACCCTATGGGGAGCGAGCCTCACCCATTAACACTGAACCCTATTGGGAGTGAGCCTCACCCATTAACACTGAACCCTATGGAAGTGAGCCTCACCCATTAACACTGAACCCTATGGGAGTGAGCCTCACCCATTGACACTGAACCCTATGGGGAGCGAGCCTCACCCATTAACACTGAACCCTATGGGAGAGGGAGCCTTAGTCTGGCTCTATGAGCCTCACCCATTAACACTGAACCCTATGGGGAGCGAGCCTCAGGCTGGCTCAGCGAGCCTCACCCATTAACACTGAGCCCTATGGGGAGCGAGCCTCAGGCTGGCTCAGCGAGCCTCACCCATTAACACTGAACCCTATGGGGAGCGAGCCTCACCCATTAACACTGAACCCTATGGGGAGCGAGCCTCACCCATTAACACTGAACCCTATGGGGAGCGAGCCTCAGTCTGGCTCAGTGAGCCTCACCCATTAACACTGAACCCTATGAGGAGTGAGCCTCACCCATTAACACTGAACCCTATGGGGAGCGAGCCTCACCCATTAACACTGAACCCTATGGGGAGCGAGCCTCAGTCTGGCTCAGTGAGCCTCACCCATTAACACTGAACCCTATGAGGAGTGAGCCTCACCCATTAACACTGAACCCTATGGGGAGCGAGCCTCACCCATTAACACTGAACCCTATGGGGAGCGAGCCTCACCCATTAACACTGAACCCTATGGGCAGTGAGCCTCACCCATTAATACTGAACCCTATGGGGAGCGAGCCTCACCCATTAACACTGAACCCTATGGGGAGCGAGCCTCACCCATTAACACTGAACCCTATGGGGAGCGAGCCTCACCCATTAACACTGAACCCTATGGGGAGCGAGCCTCACCCATTAACACTGAACCCTATGGGGAGTGAGCCTCACCCATTAACACTGAACCCTATGGGGAGCGAGCCTCACCCATTAACACTGAACCCTATGGGAGTGAGCCTCACCCATTAACACTGAACCCTATGGGGAGCGAGCCTCACCCATTAACACTGAACCCTATGGGGAGCGAGCCTCAGGCTGGCTCAGTGAGCCTCAGTGATTAACACTGAACCCTATGGGTAGTGAGCCTCACCCATTAACACTGAACCCTATGGGGAGCGAGCCTCACCCATTGACACTGAACCCTATGGGAGTAAGCCTCACCCATTAACACTGAACCCTATGAGGAGTGAGCCTCACCCATTAACACTGAACCCTATGGGGAGTGAGCCTCAGTCTGGCTCTATGAGCCTCGCCCATTAACACTGAACCCTATGGGGAGCGAGCCTCACCCATTGACACTGAACCCTATGGGAGAGAGCCTCACCCATTAACACTGAACCCTATGGGGAGCGAGCCTCACCCATTAACACTGAACCCTATGGGGAGCGAGCCTCACCCATTAACACTGAACCCTATGGGGAGCGAGCCTCACCCATTAACACTGAACCCTATGGGGAGCGAGCCTCACCCATTAACACTGAACCCTATGGGAGTGAGCCTCACCCATTAACACTGAACCCTATGGGGAGCGAGCCTCACCCATTAACACTGAACCCTATGGGGAGCGAGCCTCACCCATTAACACTGAACCCTATGGGGAGCGAGCCTCAGGCTGGCTCAGTGAGCCTCACCCATTAACACTGAACCTTATGGGGAGCGAGCCTCACCCATTAACACTGAACCCTATGGGAGCCTCAGGCTGGCTCAGTGAGCCTCATAGCGGCTCAGGGCGGTTACCGTGCGCGTGGCGATAGAGATTATTTATTAATTAAGTTTTACGCATTAAGCACTAAAGGTGGCGTGGGGGGTGGCGGGTGCCGCAAAAAAAATATATTTAAACAATAACAACAGCGACAGAATCAACAAATAAACAAATAAATGAAGAGTAGAAACGCACAAAAACTAAATCGTAAAATAAAAACGCCTCACGTTCTTACCCGGGACCCAAGGCCGCGTCCGCCATCTTGGTACGGGAGGTTGTGGTGGGGGGGTGAGGAGGGCGGTCTGCGCATGCGCAGTCTTTAAGTGACTCAGCTGCTACGGAGGGCGTGAAGCGATGGGTGGGGCCAATTTTACAAAACGCGTTTGTAAAAATATATTCTGATTATTATTTTTTTTAAATGGGTATTTATTTAAATAAAGTCGCGTGTTTATTTTACTCGGTCGATATCTTATGAGTGAGTGATTGCGTGTGATCTTGTGCTCGAATTATTTAATTTTTTAAAAAACCGTTTTGTTAACCGGGATGCAAGGCCGCAATCGCCATCTTGGTACGGGAAGGTGGTGGCAGGGTGGGGTCTGCGCATGCGCAGTTTTCAAGTTGCTCAGCTGCTACGGAAGCTCGCCGAGGCTCAATCAACTGAGGAGGCAAGGGGGGAATGACGCCATGGATGGGGGAATTTCTTTTTTAAAAACGCGTTTAATGAAATCTCGTTAGTTTATTTATAGTTGTATTTAATGATTTCCTCGTTCGCTATCCGATAAGAGCGTGCGTGAGTGAGTGAGTGCGGGATCTGGTGCTTTAAAACATATTTAAGAATTTTAAAAACGCGTTAGGAAACGAAACGCGCTTCGATTTGCCGAAGATCCAAGGCCGCCTCGGCCATCTTCGTACGGGAGAGGGTGGCGCAGTTGGCAGTCTGCGCATGCGCAGTCTTTAAATGGCTCCAGCTGCTACGGTGGCTCGGCTAGGGTCAAACCGACAGCGTGAGCGAGTGGAAAATAGAGCCGTGGATGGCGGGGGGGAGAGGGGACATTCACAAAACGCGTTTTATTTAAAGCTCCACGTGTAAAGTTCCCCATAGAGGCCCACACTCATAGAGACCCACAGAGACCCACACTCATAGAGACCCACAAGGACCCATACTCATAGAGACCCATAGAGACCATAATCATAGAGACCCATACTCATAGAGACCCATACTCATAGAGACCCATAGAGACCCACACTCATAGAGACCCATACTCATAGAGACCCACAAGGACCCATACTCATAGAGACCCACAAGGACCCATACTCATAGAGACCCACACTCATAGAGACCCACACTCACAGAGACCCATAGAGACCCATACTCATACAGACCGACAATAAATCGAGGGGGGAGGATTTGTTTAAAATAATGGGTTAGATCGCTTAAACATAATTGTTGTGTCGTCATTGCCACCACCACCCGACACGCCCGATCAGCAACAGAACGTGTGGACAATTTGAATCCTGGACGACTTTATTGAGAATTGTCACCAGGGCAGTAAGGCTCAGCCGCTGTGTCGGCGGCTCTTCGTCAGACGAGCGACCACGTGACTGAGTCATCATCCTCATCGTGGGGCAATTCCCATAGAGACCCACAGAGAACCATAGAGACCCATAGAGACCCATAGAGACCCACACTCACAGAGACCCATACTCATAGAGACCCACACTCACAGAGAACCATTGAGACCCATAGAGACCCACACTCTTAGAGACCCACAGAGACCCACACTCATAGAGACCCATAGAGACCCATACTCATAGAGACCCATAGAGACCCATACTCACAGAGACCCACAGAGACTCATACTCATAGAGACCCACAGAGACCCATACTCATAAAACCCATACAAACCCACAGAGACCCATACAGAGACCCACAGAGACCCATACAGAGACCCACAGAGACCCATACTCATAGAGACCCACAGAGACCCACACTCCTAAAAACCCATACAAACTCACAGAGACCCACACAAACCCATACAAACCCACAGAGGCCCATACAGAGACCCACAAAAACCCATAATCATAAAGACCCATACAAACCCACAGAGACCGACAGAGACCCATACTCATAAGAACCCATACAAACCCACAGAAACCCATACAGAGACCCACAGAGACCCATACAGAGACCCACAGAGACCCATACAGAGACCCACAGAGGCCCATACAGAGACCCACAGAGACCCAAAAACAGTTTATTGTAACCACGGTGAGCGGCTCAGTCGGTCTCTATTCAGACTTAGCGATCTGGCTAACCACACGGTGACAGCATCTCACCCAAGCGGCTGATATCACCGCCACCACCACCACCATCATCATCATCGCCACCGCGGACTCTCTGAACGTGCAGGGGAAAGAGGACCGGGAGATCAACAACAACAATCCCCACTAAGTGGCGGTGACGTCACCACGACGCGTGTGCCAGGCCACGTGCACCTTGAGGTCACCACGTGAAGTGTCGAACGCCCGCTGGCAGGAGGTCACGGGGCAGACCCAGCAGGTGCCACGGGTCGACTGACTGAGATGACTGAGATGACTGGCTGATGCACCACCTGTGCCCCCTACTGTGCCAGGCTAGGTGCACCAGGAGGTCACGGGGCAGACCCAGCAGGTGCCACGGGTCGACTGACCGAGACGACTGGCTGATGCACCACCTGTGCCCCCTACTGTGCCAGGCTAGGTGCACCAGGAGGTCACGGGGCAGACCCACCAGGTGCCACGGGTCGACTGACCGAGACGACTGGCTGATGCACCACCTGTGCCCCCTACTGTGCCAGGCTAGGTGCACCAGGAGGTCACGGGGCAGACCCAGCAGGTGCCACGGGTCGACTGACCACCACGGGGAGAGAGACAGAGAGAGAGACGCAGACTCCATCACAAATACGACCTCCTGTGTACCTGGCGAGGTAGTCAACATCTCACCACGTGGAGAGAGAGACGCAGACTCCATCACAATTACGACCTCCTGCGTACCAGGCGAGGTAGTCAACATCTCACCACGGGGGAGAGAGAGACGCAGACTCCATCACAATTACGACCTCCTGCGTACCAGACGAGGTAGTCAACATCTCACCACGGGGGAGAGAGAGACGCAGACTCCATCACAGTCACGACCTCCTGCGTACCAGGCGAGGTAGTCAACATCTCACCACGTGGAGAGAGAGAGACGCAGACTCCATCACAGTCACGACATCCTGTATACCAGGCGAGGTAGTCAACATCTCACCACGTGGAGAGACTCAGACTCCATCATAATCACGACCTCCTGTGTACCAGACGAGGTAGTCAACATCTCATCAGGGTCTGGGATCGAACCCACGACCTCCTGCGTGCCAGGCGAGGTAGTCAACATCTCTCCACGTGGAGAGAGACGCAGACTCCATCACAATCACGACCTCCTGCGTACCAGGCGAGGTAGTCAACATCTCATCAGGGTCTGGGATCGAACCCACGACCTCCTACAGACCAGGCGAGGTAGTCAACATCTCAACAGGGTCTGGGATCGAACCCGCGACCTCCTACAGACCAGGCGAGGTAGTCAACATCTCATCAGGGTCTGGGATCGAACCCGCGACCTCCTGCGTACCAGGCGAGGTAGTCAACATCTCACCACGTGGAGAGAGAGACGCAGACTCCATCACAATCACGACCTCCTGCGTGCCAGGCGAGGTAGTCAACATCTCATCAGGGTCTGGGATCGAACCCGTGACCTCCTGCGTACCAGGCGAGGTGGTCAACATCTCATCAGGGTCTGGGATCGAACCCGTGACCTCCTGCGTACCGGGCGAGGTAGTCAACATCTCATCAGGGTCTGGGATCAAACCCGTGACCTCCTGCGTACCAGGCGAGGTAGTCAACATCTCACCACGTGGAGAGAGAGAGAGAGACTCAGACTCCATCACAATCACGACCTCCTGCGTACCAGGCGAGGTAGTCAACATCTCCGTCCTAGGAAATTAAACCCACGAGAACGTTTATGATTCGAGTGCCCTGACGATTTATTGAATGACTGGTTCGCTATCGTCAGCCAAGGTGCTGTCACTGTGCACGGGGAATGTGTTGGGGAAGTCATCTCGGTCAGTCGACCCACGGAGCTTGGAATCCGTGAACCGCGCTTGGCACGGGAGTCGAGCGGTGACGCCTGTTGGGTCTGTCCCGTGACCTCTACCACGTCCAGCAGATAGATCGCCACCACCACCACCACCAGGTCAACCACCACCACCTCAACCACCTCAACTACCACCACCACCAGCAGATAGATCGCCACCACCACCACCACCACCAGCTCAACCACCACCATCACCACCTCCACCATCACCACCTCCACCATCACCACCTCCACCATCACCACCTCCACCACCACCTCCACCACGACCACCGCCACCACCACCATCACCACCACCACCACCTCCACCTCCACCATCAATGTCCTCCTGCTCCCACCACACCACCACCACCACCACCATCAATGTCCTCCTGCTCCCACCACACCACCACCACCACCACCACCTCCACCACCACCATCAATGTCCTCCTGCTCCCACCACACCACCACCACCACCACCTCCACCACCACCTTCACCACCACCATCAATGTCCTCCTGCTCCCACCACACCACCACCATCAATGTCCTCCTGCTCCCACCACACCACCACCACCACCACCACCTCCACCACCACCACCTCCACCACCACCACCATCAATGTCCTCCTGCTCCCACCACACCACCACCATCAATGTCCTCCTGCTCCCACCACACCACCACCACCACCTCCACCACCACCATCAATGTCCTCCTGCTCCCACCACACCACCACCACCACCACCTCCACCACCACCTCCACCACCACCATCAATGTCCTCCTGCTCCCACCACACCACCACCACCACCACCACCTCCACCACCACCATCAATGTCCTCCTGCTCCCACCACACCACCACCACCACCACCTCCACCACCACCTCCACCACCACCATCAATGTCCTCCTGCTCCCACCACACCACCACCATCAATGTCCTCCTGCTCCCACCACACCACCACCACCACCACCACCTCCACCACCACCACCTCCACCACCACCACCATCAATGTCCTCCTGCTCCCACCACACCACCACCATCAATGTCCTCCTGCTCCCACCACACCACCACCATCAATGTCCTCCTGCTCCCACCACACCACCACCATCAATGTCCTCCTGCTCCCACCACTCCACCCTCGCCTCTCCGCAGCTCCTTCACGATGCTGCCCAGATCCTCCACAAACATCTGGATCTGGATGCAGGAGACACACGGGGGGGGGAGGCAGGGGGTGAGACGGGGGGTGGTGGTGGGGTGGTGGGTGGGTGAGTGGGTGGGTGGGTGGGTGAGTGGGTGGGTGAGTGGGTGGGTGAGTGGGTGAGTGAGTGGGTGAGTGGGTGAGTGGGTGGGTGGGTGAGTGTGTGAGTGAGTGTATGAGTGAGTGAGTGTGTGTGAGTGTGTGAGTGTATGAGTGAGTGTGTGAGTGAGTGTGTGTATGAGTGTGTGTGTGAGTGAGTGTGTGTGAGAGTGAGTGTGTGTATGAGTGAGTGAGTGTATGAGTGTGTGAGTGTGAGTGTATGTGTGAGTGAGTGTGTGTATGAGTGAGTGTATGAGTGAGTGTCTGAGTGAGTGTATGAGTGAGTGTATGTGTATGTGTGTGTATGAGTGTATGAGTGAGTGTATGAGTGAGTGTATGAGTGAGTGTGTGAGTGAGTGTGTATGAGTGTGTGAGTGAGTGTGTGAGTGTGAGTGAGTGTATGAGTGAGTGAGTGTATGAGTGAGTGTATGAGTGAGTGTATGAATGAGTGTATGAGTGTGTGAGTGTATGAGTGAGTGAGTGTATAAGTGTATGAGTGAGTGAGTGTGTACGTGTGTATGAGTGAGTGTGTGAGTGAGTGTGTGAGTGAGTGTGTGTATGTATGAGTGTGTAAGTGTGAGTGTGTATGTTTGAGTGTGAGTGTGTAAGTGTGAGTGTGTGAGTGTATGAGTGAGTGTATGTGTGTATGAGTGAGTGTGTGTATGTGTGAGTGTGTGAGTGTATGAGTGTGAGTGAGTGTGTAAGTGTGAGTGTGTAAGTGTGTAAGTGTGAGTGTGTGAGTGTATGAGTGTGTGTGCGTGTGTAAGTGAGTGTATGTATGTATGTATGAGTGTGTAAGTGTGAGTGTGTGAGTGTATGAGTGTATGAGTGAGTGAGTGTGTGTGTGAGTGAGTGTATGAGTGTGTGAGTGTATGAGTGAGTGTATGAGTGTGTGAGTGTATGAGTGAGTGAGTGTATGAGTGAGTGAGTGTATGAGTGAGTGTGTGTGTGAGTGAGTGTGTAAGTGTGAGTGTGTGAGTGTGTGAGTGTATGAGTGAGTGTATGTGTGAGTGTATGAGTGAGTGTATGAGTGAGTGTATGAGTGAGTTTATGAGTGAGTGTATGAGTGAGTGTGTGAGTGTATGAGTGAGTGAGTGTATGAGTGAGTGAGTGAGTGTATGAGTGAGTGTATGAGTGAGTGAGTGTATGAGTGAGTGAGTGTATGAGTGAGTGTATGAGTGAGTCAGTGTGTGAGTGTGTGTATGAGTGTGTGTGAGTGTGTGTGTGTAAGTGAGTGTGTGTATGTATGTATGAGTGTGTAAGTGTGAGTGTGTAAGTGTGAGTGAGTGTGTGAGTGTAACAGTGAGTGTATGAGTGAGTGTGTATGAGTGCGTGAGTGTAAGTGTGTGAGTGAGTGTATGAGTGAGTGTATGAGTGAGTGTGTGAGTGTATGAGTGTGAGTGAGTGTATGAGTGTGAGTGTGTGAGTGTGTGTATGAGTGTGTGTGAGTGTGTAAGTGAGTGTATGTATGTATGAGTGTGTAAGTGTGAGTGTGTAAGTATGAGTGTATGAGTGAGTGAGTGTATGAGTGTATGAGTGAGTGTATGAGTGAGTGTATGAGTGAGTGAGTGAGTGTATGAGTGAGTGAGTGTATGAGTGAGTGTATGAGTGAGTGAGTGTATGAGTGAGTGTATGAGTGAGTGAGTGTATGAGAGAGTGAGTGTATGAGTGTATGAGTGTGTGAGTGTATGAGTGAGTGAGTGTATGAGAGAGTGAGTGTATGAGTGAGTGTGTGTATGAGTGTATGAGTGTGTGAGTGTATGAGTGAGTGTATGAGTGTGTAAGTGTATGTATGAGTGTGTAAGTGTGTGAGTGTGTAAGTGTGTAAGTGTAAGTGTGTGAGTGTGTGTATGTATGAGTATGAGTGAGTGTAAGTGTGTAAGTGTGAGTGAGTGTGTAAGTGTGTGAGTGAGTGAGTGTATGAGTGTGAGTGAGTGTGTAAGTGTGAGTGTGTAAGTGTGTAAGTGTGAGTGTGTGAGTGTATGAGTGTGTGTGAGTGTGTAAGTGAGTGTATGTATGTATGTATGAGTGTGTAAGTGTGAGTGTGTGAGTGTATGAGTGTATGAGTGAGTGAGTGTATGAGTGAGTGAGTGTATGAGTGAGTGAGTGAGTGTGTGAGTGTATGAGTGTGTATGTGTAAGTGTATAAGTGTGTAAGTGTGAGTGAGAGTGTGAGTTTATGAGTGAGTGTAAGTGTGTGAGTGTGTAAGTGTGTGAGTGTGTAAGTGTATGAGTATGAGTGTAAGTGAGTGTGTGTGAGTGTGTAAGTGTGTAAGTGTAAGTGTGAGTAAGTGTGAGAGTCAGCTCACCTCCGTGAGTTGCCTCTCCGTGTCCCCCGTGCCGGGCTCCGCCCGCTCGCCGCCCATCCGGCCGGCCACCAGCTGGTGCAGGTTGAAGGTCGCCATGCGGATCTGGCCCAGCAGCAGAGTCTTCATACACGCTGTGTTCTGGATGTGCGTCCATCGGGACTCCTGGACACGAGAGAGGCCGGGGAGGGAGGGGAGGAGGGGAGGAGGGGAGGGGAGGAGGGGAGGGTCAGCCACTGCCCTCACTCCCTGGATCATCATCCCCTGGATCATCACTCCCCTGGATCATCACTCCCTGAATCATCACTCCCTGGATCATCACTCCCCTGGATCATCACCCCCTGGATCATCATCTCCCCTGGATCATCACCTCCTGGATCATCACCCCCTGGATCATCACCCCCTGGATCATCACTCCCTGGATCATCACCCCCTGGATCATCACCTCCTGAATCATCATCTCCTGAATCATCACCTCCTGAATCATCACTCCCTGAATCATCACTCCCTGGATCATCACCTCCTGAATCATCACCCCCTGGATCATCACCCCCTGGATCATCACCCCCTGGATCATCACTCCCTGGATCATCACCTCCTGAATCATCACCTCCTGAATCATCACCTCCTGAATCATCACCTCCTGAATCATCACCCCCTGGATCATCACCTCCTGGATCATCACCCCCTGGATCATCACCCCCTGAATCATCACTTCCTGAATCATCACCCCCTGGATCATCACCCCCTGGATCATCACCCCCTGGATCATCACCCCCTGGATCATCACCCCCTGGATCATCACCTCCTGGATCATCACCTCCTGAATCATCACCTCCTGAATCATCACCCCCTGGATCATCACCTCCTGAATCATCACCCCCTGGATCATCACTCCCTGGATCATCACCTCCTGAATCATCACCCCCTGGATCATCACCCCCTGGATCATCACTTCCTGAATCATCACCCCCTGAATCATCACCCCCTGGATCATCACCTCCTGAATCATCACCCCCTGGATCATCACCCCCTGGATCATCACTCCCTGGATCATCACCTCCTGGATCATCACCCCCTGGATCATCACCCCCTGGATCATCACTCCCTGGATCATCACCCCCTGGATCATCACCTCCTGAATCATCACCTCCTGAATCATCACCCCCTGGATCATCACCTCCTGAATCATCACCCCCTGGATCATCACCCCCTGGATCATCACCTCCTGAATCATCACCCCCTGAATCATCACCCCCTGGATCATCACCTCCTGAATCATCACCCCCTGGATCATCACCCCCTGGATCATCACTCCCTGGATCATCACCTCCTGGATCATCACCCCCTGGATCATCACTTCCTGAATCATCACCTCCTGAATCATCACTTCCTGAATCATCACCTCCTGGATCATCACCTCCTGAATCATCACCCCCTGAATCATCACCTCCTGAATCATCACCCCCTGGATCATCACCCCCTGGATCATCACCTCCTGGATCATCACCTCCTGAATCATCACTCCCTGAATCATCACCTCCTGAATCATCACCCCCTGGATCATCACCCCCTGGATCATCACTTCCTGAATCATCACCTCCTGAATCATCACCCCCTGGATCATCACTTCCTGAATCATCACCCCCTGAATCATCACTCCCTGAATCATCACCTCCTGAATAATCACCTCCATCACCCCTCCATCACCCCCTCCATCACCTCCATCACCCCCCCATCACCCCCTCATCACTGAATCAGTGACCGAGTGAGCGAGTGAGCGACTGAGTCAGTGAGTGATTGACTGAGTGAGCGACTGAGTCAGCGACTGAGTGAGTGAGCGACTGAGTCAGTGAGTGAGCGACTGAGTGAGTGAGTGAGCGACTGAGTCAGTGAGCGATTGACTGAGCGAGCGACTGAGTCAGCGACTGAGTGAGTGAGCGACTGAGTCAGTGAGTGAGCGACTGAGTGAGTGAGTGAGCGACTGAGTGAGTGAGTGATTGACTGAGCGAGCGACTGAGTCAGCGACTGAGTGAGTGAGCGACTGAGTCAGTGAGTGAGCGACTGAGTGAGTGAGTGAGCGACTGAGTCAGTGAGCGATTGACTGAGCGAGCGACTGAGTGAGTGAGCGACTGAGTCAGTGAGTGAGCGACTGAGTGAGTGACTGAGTGAGTGAGTGATTGACTGAGCGAGCGACTGAGTCAGTGAGCGAGCGACTGAGTGAGTGAGTGAGCGACTGAGTCAGTGAGCGATTGACTGAGCGAGCGACTGAGTGAGTGAGCGACTGAGTCAGTGAGTGAGCGACTGAGTGAGTGACTGAGTGAGTGAGTGATTGACTGAGCGAGCGACTGAGTCAGTGAGCGAGCGACTGAGTCAGCGACTGAGTGAGTGAGCGACTGAGTCAGTGAGTGAGCGACTGAGTGAGTGAGTGAGCGACTGAGTCAGTGAGTGAGCGACTGAGTCAGCGACTGAGTGAGTGAGCGACTGAGTCAGTGAGTGAGCGACTGAGTCAGCGACTGAGTGAGTGAGCGACTGAGTCAGTGAGTGAGCGACTGAGTCAGTGAGTGAGCGACTGAGTGAGTGACTGAGTGAGTGAGTGATTGACTGAGCGAGCGACTGAGTCAGTGAGCGAGCGACTGAGTCAGCGACTGAGTGAGTGAGCGACTGAGTCAGTGAGTGAGCGACTGAGTGAGTGAGCGAGCGACTGAGTCAGTGAGTGATTGACTGAGCGAGCGACCGAGCGACTGAGTGAGTGAGCGAGCGACTGAGTCAGTGAGTGATTGACTGACTGAGCGACCGAGCGACTGTGTCTGTGTCTGTGTGTGTCTGTGTCTGTCTGTGTGTGTGTCTGTGTCTGTGTGTGTTTGTGTGTGTGTCTGTGTCTACGTGTGTCTGTGTCTGTGTGTGTAGGTGCTGATACTCGCTACTAACAGCACTTGCCCCTACAGCCCTGCAAGAGGCTACACGGGGTACCTTTGTCTGTGTGTGTAGGTGCTGCTACTCGCTACTGTGTGTCTCTGTGTGTGTGTGTCTATGTGTGTGTGTGTCTGTGTGTGTGTGTCTCTGTGTGTGTGTGTCACTGTGTGTGTGTCACTGTGTGTATCACTGTGTGTGTGTCACTGTGTGTGTGTCACTGTGTGTGTCACTGTGTGTGTGTCACTGTGTGTGTGTGTGTGTCACTGTGTGTGTGTCTGTGTGTGTGAGTGTGTCTGTGTGTCTGTGTGTGTCTCTGTGTGTGTCTCTGTGTGTGTGTCTATGTGTGTGTCTGTGTGTGTGTGTGTGTCTGTGTGTGTCTCTGTGTGTGTGTCTGTGTGTGTGTCTGTGTGTGTGTCTGTGTGTATGTGTGTGTGTCTCTGTGTGTCTCTGTGTGTGTGAGTGTGTCTGTGTGTCTGTGTGTGTGTGTCTGTGTGTGTCTCTGTGTGTGTCTCTGTGTGTGTGTCTGTGTGTCTGTGTATGTATCTGTGTGTGTCTGTGTGTGTGTGTGTCTCTGTGTGTGTCTCTGTGTGTCTCTGTCTGTGTGTGTGTCTGTGTGTGTCTGTGTGTGTGTGTCTGTGTGTGTCTCTGTGTGTCTCTGTGTGTGTGTGTCTGTGTGTGTCTCTGTGTGTGTCTCTGTGTGTGTGTCTGTGTGTCTGTGTATGTATCTGTGTGTGTCTGTGTCTCTGTCTCTCTCTCTCTCTGTCTCTCTCTCTCTCTGCGAGCCTCCTCCCTCCCTCCCTCCTCCTCCACCCCTCCTCCCTATCCCCGCCGTGGCCGCCATGCCGTGCGTCTCTTCACCGCGGCCAGCCCCCGTGCCCTCGCCGCGTCGAGGGCCTCCTGGAGCCGTCCCAGCTCGCCGCCGAGCGCCAGCTCCCTCGCCCGCTCGCCCTCGGCCCAGCGGGCGCCGGCCGCCCGCTCCTGGGCGGCCACGCGGTCGCCCTTGGCGCAGCGACGCTCCAGGTCGGAGCGGGTCGCCCGCAGGGTCTCGTGGCGAGACAGCAGCTGGCGAACGTCGTGGAACTTGCCGTGGGGGTGGGGTGGGGTGGAGGGGTGGGAGGGTGGGTGAGAGGGTGAGTGTATGAGTGAGTGTATGAGTGAGTGTATGAGTGTTAGTATGAATGAGTGAGTGTATGTATGAGTGAGTGAGTGTATGAGTGAGTGTATGAGTGAGTGTATGAGTGTTAGTATGAATGAGTGAGTGTATGTATGAGTGAGTGAGTGTATGAGTGAGTGTATGAGTGAGTGTATGAGTGTTAGTATGAATGAGTGAGTGTATGTATGAGTGAGTGAGTGTATGAGTGAGTGTATGAGTGAGTGTATGAATTAATAAGTGAGTGTTAGTATGAGTGTATGAGTGAGTGTATGAATGAATAAGTGAGTGTATGAGTGAGTGAGTGTATGAGTGAGTGAGTGTATGAGTGAGTGTATGAGTGAGTGAGTGTATGAGTGAGTGTATGAGTGAGTGAGTGTATGAGTGTATGAGTGAGTGTATGAGTGTTAGTATGAATGAGTGAGTGTATGAGTGAGTGAGTGTATGAGTGAGTGAGTGTATGAGTGAATGTGTGAATGAGTGAGTGTATGAGTTATGAGTGTTAGTGTGAGTGTATGAGTGTTAGTATGAGTGTTAGTATGAGTGAGTGAGTGTATGAGTGAGTGTATGAATGAGTGTATGAGTGAGTGTATGAGTGAGTGAGTGTATGAGTGAATGTGTGAATGAGTGAGTGTATGAGTGTTAGTATGAGTGAGTGTATGAGTGAGTGAGTGTTAGTATGAGTGTATGAGTGAGTGAATGAGTGAGTGTATGAGTGTATGAGTGAGTGTATGAATAAGTGAGTGTATGAGTGTATGAGTGAGTGTATGAGTGTAAGTATGAATGAGTGAGTGTATGAGTGAGTGAGTGTATGAGTGAATGAGTGTATGAGTGAGTGAGTGTTAGTATGAGTGTATTAGTGTTAGTATGAGTGAGTGTTAGTATGAGTGTATGAGTGAGTGTATGAGTGTTAGTATGAGTGAGTGTTAGTATGAGTGTATGAGTGAGTGAGTGTATGAGTGTTAGTATGAGTGTTTGTGTGAGTGTATGAGTGTTAGTATGAGTGAGTGTATGAGTGAGTGTATGAGTGAGTGTATGAGTGTTAGTATGAATGAGTGAGTGTATGAGTGAGTGAGTGTATGAGTGAATGAATGAGTGAGTGAATGAGTGAGTGTATGAGTGTATGAGTGAGTGAGTGTTAGTATGAGTGTATGAGTGAGTGTATGAGTGAGTGTATGAGTGTTCGTATGAGTGAGTGTATGAGTGAGTGAGTGAGTGTTAGTATGAGTGTATGAGTGAGTGAATGAGTGAGTGTATGAGTGAGTGAGTGAGTGTATGAGTGTTAGTATGAGTGTATGAGTGAGTGTATGAGTGTTAGTATGAGTGTATGAGTGAGTGTATGAGTGTTAGTATGAATGAGTGAGTGTATGTATGAGTGAGTGAGTGTATGAGTGAGTGTATGAGTGAGTGTATGAATTAATAAGTGAGTGTTAGTATGAGTGCATGAGTGAGTGTATGAATGAATAAGTGAGTGTATGAGTGAGTGTTAGTATGAGTGTATGAGTGAGTGAATGTGTGAGTGTATGAGTGAGTGTATGAATGAGTGAGTGTTAGTATGAGTGTATGAGTGAGTGTATGAGTGAGTGTATGAGTGTTAGTATGAATGAATGAGTGTATGAGTGAGTGAGTGAGTGTATGAGTGAGTGAATGAGTGAGTGTATGAATGAATGAGTGAGTGTTAGTATGAGTGTATGAGTGAGTGTATGAATGAATAAGTGAGTGTATGAGTGAGTGTTAGTATGAGTGTATGAGTGAGTGAATGTGTGAGTGTATGAGTGAGTGAGTGTATGAGTGAGTGTAAGAGTGAGTGTATGTATGAGTGAGTGAGTGTATGAGTGTTAGTATGAGTGTATGAGTGAGTGTATGAGTGTTAGTATGAGTGTATGAGTGAGTGTATGAGTGTTAGTATGAATGAGTGAGTGTATGTATGAGTGAGTGTATGTGTGTGTGTGTGAGTGAGTGTATGAGTGAGTGTTAGTATGAATGAGTGAGTGTTAGTATGAGTGTATGAGTGAGTGTATGAATGAATAAGTGTTAGTATGAGTGTATGATTGAGTGTATGAATGAATAAGTGAGTGTATGAGTGAGTGTTAGTATGAGTGTATGAGTGAGTGAATGTGTGAGTGTATGAGTGAGTGTATGAATGAGTGAGTGTTAGTATGAGTGTATGAGTGAGTGTATGAGTGTTAGTATGAATGAGTGAGTGTATGTATGAGTGAGTGAGTGTATGAGTGAGTGTATGAGTGAGTGTATGAATGAATGAGTGAGTGTTAGTATGAGTGTATGAGTGAGTGTATGAATGAATAAGTGAGTGTATGAGTGAGTGTTAGTATGAGTGTATGAGTGAGTGAATGTGTGAGTGTATGAGTGAGTGTATGAATGAGTGAGTGTTAGTATGAGTGTATGAGTGAGTGTATGAGTGAGTGTATGAGTGTTAGTATGAATGAGTGAGTGTATGTATGAGTGAGTGAGTGTATGAGTGAGTGTATGAGTGAGTGTATGAATTAATAAGTGAGTGTTAGTATGAGTGTATGAGTGAGTGTATGAATGAATGAGTGAGTGTATGAGTGAGTGTATGAGTGAGTGTATGAGTGTTAGTGTGAGTGTATGAGTGAGTGTATGAGTGAGTGAGTGTTAGTATGAATGAATGAGTGAGTGTATGAGTGAGTGTATGAGTGAGTGTATGAGTGTTAGTGTGAGTGTATGAGTGAGTGTATGAGTGAGTGAGTGTTAGTATGAGTGTATGAGTGAGTGTATGAGTGAGTGTATGAGTGTTAGTATGAATGAGTGAGTGTATGAGTGGGTGAGTGTATGAGTGAGTGTATGAGTGAGTGAGTGTATGAGTGAGTGAGTGTATGAGTGAGTGTATGAGTGAGTGTATGAGTGAGTGTATGAGTGAGTGTATGAGTGAGTGTTAGTATGAGTGTATGAGTGTTAGAGTGAGTGAATGAGTGAGTGTTAGTATGAGTGAGTGAGTGTATGAATGAGTGAGTGTATGAGTGAGTGCATGAGTGAGTGAGTGTATGAGTGAGTGTATGAGTGAGTGAGTGTATGAATGAGTGTATGAATGAGTGAGTGTATGAATGAGTGTATGAATGAGTGAGTGTATGAGTGAATGAATGAGTGAGTGTATGAGTGTGTGAATGAGTGAGTGTATGAGTGAGTGAGTGTATGAGTGAGTGTATGAATAAGTGAGTGTATGAGTGTATGAGTGAGTGTATGAATAAGTGAGTGTATGAGTGTTAGTGTGAGTGTATGAGTGAGTGTATGAGTGAGTGAGTGTATGAATGAGTGAGTGTATGAATGAGTGAGTGTTAGTATGAATGACTGAGTGTATGAATGAGTGAGTGTTAGTATGAGTGTATGAGTGTGTGAGTGAGTGTATGAGTGTTAGTGTGAGTGTATGAGTGAGTGTATGAATAAGTGAGTGTATGAGTGTATGAGTGTTAGTGTGAGTGAGTGAGTGTTAGTATAAGTGTATGAGTGAGTGAATGTGTGAGTGTATGAATGTATGAGTGAGTGTTAGTATGAGTGTATGATTGAGTGTATGAATGTATGAATAAGTGTTAGTATGAGTGTATGAGTGAGTAGGCCTCTCTCCCCCTCTCCCCTCTCCTCTCCTCTCCCCCTCTCCCCCTCTCCTCTCCCCACACACCTCCGAGGAGGAGTGACCCACGGCCCTCTCCAGCAACGCCAGTGCCGGCTGCCCCCGCTGGCACCGCGCCCTCAGCCCCAGGGCCTCCGCCCGCAGGTGGCTCAGCCTGACGCCGAGTCCCTGGGCCTCGGCGGCCTTGCGCAGGCTGAGGGCCCTCTCCTCGCGGGCCTTCCTGCTCGCACGCTCTCTCTTGTTGTCGTTCTCCTGCGGTGGTGGGGTGACGAGGAGGTGAGGTGGGGTGAGGAGGTGAGGAGGGGTGAGGAGGGGTGAGGAGGAGAGGGCCCTCAGCCTGACGCCGAGTCCCTGGGCCTCGGCGGCCTTGCGCAGGCTGAGGGCCCTCTCCTCGCGGGCCTTCCTGCTCGCACGCTCTCTCTTGTTGTCGTTCTCCTGCGGAGGTGGGGTGACGAGGAGGTGAGGTGGGGTGAGGAGGTGAGGAGGGGTGGGGAGGAGGGGGGGGGGGGAGGGGGGGGGGGTGAGGAGGGGTGAGGAGGGGGGGTGAGGAGGGGGGGGTGAGGAGGGGGGGTGAGGAGGGGGGGGTGAGGAGGAGGGGTGAGGAGGGGGGGGTGAGGAGGAGGGGGTGAGGAGGAGGGGGGGTGAGGAGGGGTGAGGGAGGAGGAGGGAGGAGGAGGGGTGAGGAGGAGGAGGGGTGAGGAGGGGTGAGGAGGGGGTGAGGAGGGGGGGGTGAGGAGGGGTGAGGAGGAGGAGGGGTGAGGAGGGGTGCGGAGGAGGGGTGCGGAGGAGGGGTGCGGAGGGGGGGTGCGGAGGAGGGGTGCGGAGGAGGGGTGCGGAGGAGGGGTGCGGAGGAGGGGGGAGGAGGAGGAGGGGTGCGGGGGGGGTGAGGAGGGGTGATGAGGAGGGAGGGTGAGGAGGGGTGAGGAGGGGTGAGGAGGGGTGGGTGTAGTGGTCAGCGCTGTGCTGCGCTAATGAACCCGGCGACCCGGGTTCGATTCCTGTCTGTGTGTGTCTGTGTGTGTGTGTGTCTGTGTGTCTGTGTGTGTGTGTCTGTCTGTGTGTGTGTGTCTGTGTGTGTGTGTCTGTGTGTGTGTGTCTGTCTGTGTGTGTGTGTCTGTGTGTGTCTGTGTGTCTGTGTGTGTGTGTGTCTGTGTGTGTGTCTGTGTGTGTGTGTCTGTGTGGGTGTCTGTGTGTGTGTGTCTGTGTCTGTGTGTGTCTGTGTGTCTGTGTGTGTGTGTCTGTGTGTCTGTGTGTGTGTGTCTGTGTGTGTGTGTCTGTGTGTGTGTGTCTGTGTGGGTGTCTGTGTGTGTGTCTGTGTGTGTGTGTCTGTGTGTGTGTGTCTGTGTGTGTGTGTCTGTGTGTGTGTGTCTGTGTGGGTGTCTGTGTGTGTGTCTGTGTGTGTGTCTGTGTGTGTGTGTCTGTGTGTGTGTGTCTGTGTGTGTGTGTCTGTGTGTGTGTGTCTGTGTGGGTGTCTGTGTGTGTGTGTGTCTGTGTGTGTCTGTGTGTGTGTGAGTCCGGTAAAACAACCCCCTACCTCCTTGCGGTGCCGGACGGGCAACTCTGTCGTGGACAGTGCTGTGGGGGGAGGTCCAATTTTGATTGGCTCCTCCCCTCATGGCAAATGTGTCCACCACAGGGGCTAAACGGGGGCTCTGGACGGGTGCGAGGGGCTGGTAACCCCTCCACCTTCAATTAATTACCACGAAACCACGAGTTAAACTGAAATATGTAACTAATAAGCTTGTGCCGGATGCCCCGGGGGGCCAGGCGTCTATGACGTCTCCTGGCCAAACCCCAATTGGCGGAGCCAGGAAATTGAATATCTACCCTCGGGGCTCCTCCAGAAACAACGAAAAACCACTTCGTGTGGCCACGTGGAATGTTCGAACGCTCACTGCGGAGGAGAGGCTGCCACTCCTCTGTCGGGAGCTGGACCGGTACCGCCTGGATCTATGCGGTATTCAGGAGGTCCGGTGGACCGGCTCTGGCTCCTGCCACCGTGAGGGGTGGGGACAGTCCCTCTACTCGGGGCAGCAGACTGCCAAACAACAGGGAGTGGCTCTTCTTTTGAACAAAAGAATGAAGGGGGCGTGGGAGCGTGGCGGTGAGGTGTGGGAAGCTGTAAGCCCCAGGCTACTTTGGGCTCGCCTTCCCATCAACCGGAGGCGAGGAATGGTGGTCGTGGTTACTTATGCCCCCACCGAAGATGAACATCCGTGGAGGGATGCAGGCAAAGCCGATGAGTCAGATGCCTTCTATGACCTCCTGTAACAGGTGCTGGCTAAAGTGGCCCCTCGGGATAGAGTCATCATGTTGGGTGACTTCAATGCCCGAGTTGGTCATGATACTGGCACCTGGTCTGGAGTGATTGGAGGGCATGGGCCAGATCAGCTCAATAACAACGGTAGGAGGCTGCTAGATTTTTGTGCAGCCCATGGGCTTGTAATTACCAACACGCTGTTCCGGCATCGGCGCATCCACACAACATCATGGATGCATGCCGGGTCCAAGCAAGAACATCTGCTGGACTACATAGTGACGGACCAGCGAATGCGAGCCCATGTCCTTGACACCAGGACCTACCGTGGAGCTGATCTGCCCTCTGACCATCGACTAGTCATCTGCAAGATGCGCCTGCCAATCTTCCACTCCGGTGGTGGGTGTACACCAGGACCCCATTCTAACCTAAAGTGGCCTGGTCTCAGTTATCTGATGAAAGTTGCAAGCGAGAATTTCATCATCGCTTGCGGCTGGGATTGGCATCGTCCCCGACTCCTCCTGATGTCGAGGGTAAATGGCCGAGGTTTAGGACTGTGACTCATGCAGCTGCAATGGCTGCTTTGGGTACGCGGTCCAGACCTCCCCAGAGACCCTGGCTGATAGAGGAGGTGTTCAGAATGGTTGAGAAAAAGCGACAGGCCCACTGTCATCGGCTACAGAATCCCACGTCAGAGAATGAGGAGGCTTACCGCAGCCTTCGCTCGGAGGTTCGGAGAGCCGTGAGGCGCTGCAAGGATGGGTGGTGGTCGCGGGTTGCTGAGGAGATGGAGTCTGCCTCAGTGGCCCGTGACCACAAATCTTTATTTAACTCCATCAAAAAAGTAATCTGCAGCGCCACACCTATTACCATCATTTGGGGAAAAAACGGTGACCCAATCTCCGACCCCCAGGAACAGGTTTGCAGATTTGCTGAGCATTTCTGTGAGGTCCTGGGGGAGG